GCGGCACCAACACGATAAAACCCATTCATGCGAGAAAGCAAATAATCATTCTCAATTCTCATGAGAGTGTGTTCACTGTTTCGCTGATAAAATATACATTCATACGTGTAAACCAGCCAAGCAATTCGTTTTGCGTCTGTACTACAGATGTTGTCAGCAATGCCGTTGTATATGTGAATATATTCAGTGGGCTATCAACATAAACGAACAAACATAATAACTTGAATTGTCTTATGAGTATGTGCGTTTCGATTATATGTATGTGTGACGGATACACAGCACGAAACTTGTAGCAAACGAAAGAATTTTAAATTCATATATATATATATAGTATTGATGATTGCTTTCAAACCTGACGGATCCCCTTGGCCAACAGTCTTATTTTTGTGTTCAGTGCTTGTTTCTGTGATCGTATGAAAACAAAGCCAGTGCATTTTCAATTGGGTATTCAAAGTGAAAACAGATCATATACGATATTATATGTATTATAAGACGCAAATTTCGAGACCGAAATAGATTTTTAACCGATTTAATTCATAATTGCAGCGTATTTTGCTGAGTACACGCGCAATTGATGGTGTAAAATTTTCATTCGTGATCTTAACTATTTTGGGTGTATTTTGAAGTGCAAAGTGGGTGATAAGAAACATTTTTGCGTCGTCATTATCATTTCTAGAAATTATTTGAATTTCCGTATCGATTTATTTAAACGTGATATGAACAATATTTCATCAAAACGAATTTATATGTATTGACACAGTGGTGTGTTTTTTGTGAGTTAGTGATAAATTGAAAATCGTTTTTGAACATTAATTTTACGTTGAAAAACGGTGCAACGACTTGTATGTGTAAATCACGAGCATATTAAAATAAACGCGTAAATTGTGCGGCAACAACAACAACCAACAACCAACAAATCAACCAACTATGTGCAGCTCAATGTATCGTCGATTTCAATATGAAGTATGTTTACGCTGAATTGAACCAATTCAATGAGAAAATGTTTAACCGATCAAATATAAGTTATGTAGTGCATTTTTGCATGCATTAGGCGCGCACATTCCATCGAAAATCCCTTCTTACTCTCAGCCAACGTTCAATATGAATGGCCGAGGCATGTGCGCTTGTATCTCACTCTGTGTGTATCATCTCGTCGATTGTGTGCGAAAAAAGACTGTTTACCTTCGCTTTTTTTTTCGTTTGTTACACGTCTTTGTGGCCTCATGTTCGATTCTAGTGACGACATTTATTCGAAATTGAATTGCATTGTGTACATTCTAATTTGCTACGCTTTTCTCACTCTATTAATTAAATTAGCCTGTTTTCTAAGTCACATACATGGAAAACTAAAGAAAATTACAGTCTAGTGAACCAGTTATTTTGCGTAAATCTCCACTGTTGTAGCCTCAATGAGATACGATGACAAAGAATATTGATGGGCTTCTCACACTATCTATACACATGCAGCGATTTATGGGGGAAAACCGGTTTGAAAATAATCAATCGCAGAGCTACGCAAATGCTGAAGATTCTATGGCATTTGAAATTTAAATATAATTGTTTGTAACAGTAAGAAAAGAAGACAACCGAATGTATATTTTTGGCGAACGAAAAAAAGACACAAAGAAGTCTTGCATATAAATATTTGTATAGACTCGACTCAAAAAAACTATACACACATTCTTCATGCCATACGGTGCGCGTGTCTGCTGTTTTTTAGAATAATTTTGAAGTATGTTTACGTCTTAACACTTTTTCTACGATCTGAACTTACACAATACATATAACACGCGATAACACGAGACCTAAAATCAAAAGTGAAGAAAAAGAAACCGCCATTGGCCAGAATGATAATCGGACAAAATTCACATTGCCATTTAAATATAGAAAACGTAAATTATATGAATAAATTAACACAAGCGTAGCTCAATTTTTTTTCCAAAGGGAATGAACAAGTTATGCCCACATGGCGACACAAAAAGATGTGGTATTCATCGAAATAAAAAAAAAGTGAAATATAGAAAAAAAGACGACATTTTCACTAATTTTCAAACACGTTTTCGTATTGTGCCCGAAAATTACTTTGTAGAAAAATGTTCTGGTCACTGGCATTGTTATTTTTAAGCCTCAATTTTCGATTTCGTCAACAAATATGAATCTTACATGCGCTAGAGAAGTTATTATTTTTAGCATTTTAGTCTAGTCGCTTCTTTCGGCATCATTTCGAAGTAAACAGTGGACAGTAGACATTTCAGAACATATTATGATTACACATAAACATGTCATTCGCTATCGCCTTTTTGATGCTCCCAGCAGAGCTGTTCTTACAATTTTACGTTTTTGCGACATAACTACTCCTTTTTTCTCTATCTATTTTGTGATGAGCTGTGTGGCGAACAAAAGAACACATTTGAAATATTTCTGTCTATATTGTACAAACTATATATATTTATTATATGGAAAAAAGAAGAAGCGCACGACGACATTGTTGTCATCGTCAAAGTGAATGTCAAAAGCGCAATTTTATCAATGACAACCGATACAATGCTGAACAAACAAACACTTCGACGTGTAATAAAAAAGCAAATGATAACGAATGCACTGACAGTGCTTCTTGATAAATTAAACGACAAACAAATATAATTTATATGGAAATTTTAAACGTTTTTTTTAATGCACTGAAACGCCAGTGATTTCCTGCGTGGGAACGTCACCGTTTCTTTGTTCGACGACCAAAAAACGGTTCGAAAGATTTTTAGTGTTTGAAGTTTTAATAGTTTGGGCAAAATTACTTTTTGTGAGTCAGACTATTAAATTAATGTACAAGATTGAAAGTAGTTTGAAAATCGACTGACTGTGGTTAGAGTCTCAAACAAGATTTGGTGATAAAAATTCCATGACTAATGTAAATACAAAAATAATTAAATACATTAAATTTGTAAAAATAATTCATTCAAATGTCATAAAAACCATTGATAAAATTCAGAGTGCAGAAGTTTAGCTGTCATTCATATTTTCTTCTTAAATGTCGTTATCACTGTAGTGATTAAAAATCGTGACTAGGATCGTGATGACTCATAAATCGAGATAAATCTATCAATGTAGTAGTCATGGTCACTGTTTTTTTTTCTGTTTAATGAATAACATCCAGCAATCTGTATTATGCATGGACCATGTAAAATGGCATATAAATAATAATCTTTCAGAAAAATGAATATTAAATTTGATTTACAACGCGAGAATAGTATTGGATAATTTGTATGTTAGAAAAAGTCACTACCGGCGCTAGCGATATTACGTCATGACGATAAACGCAAGTAGTTTGAAATAGTAAATGAAAAGTCGAAAAATGATTGCAATGGACATTGTTCGATGTTGTCTATTATGCAATCAGAAATTCCATTCGGCCATTAAAGTCGATAGCGAATCAAGTGAACATCTCAAGTGCACTATAGAAAGACACACACTTAACTTGTAAATAAACATCTTAATTAAATACCATTCTCGCTTGGTTAAAGACATAAAATAGTTAAATTATGCGCACGACGAACGATTTTTATGGAAAAACTAATTTCAGTGTCGTTCGATCAATTGCATTATAATTCAGTCGAATCGGCGTCAGTTCGATTGTTGGAGGAGTTCTGGTCAATTGAATGTGTGTTTTTTTTTTAAATAATAAAACATATGAATGGAAAAGCATTCGATGCATTAAGTTTTGTTCTCTGTTGTTTGGACGCAGATTTGAGCATGTTTCCAATCGCTCTGCATGCTTTTATGTTGTGAGCGAAGCACTTTTATTTACTCGCTCATTGGATATTCTGAATATAATAATAATAATCACACACCATGCTCCTTTCCAAACATCCTGTTTTGCTTGCAATAAAAAGTCACATTAAAAATTGAACTTAATTGAAACGACGCCCAATTGCAATAAAAATTTGTGTATGTTTATACTCCAATTGTAAAATGGCATGCGTTTTATTGATTTTTTTTTTATTTGTATGGTTTGAGCTATTTTCGCCACCGTTGGCATTTTGGTCAAATTTTATTCGCCAAAAATGATTCTCTCTGGACTCTGCTCGAAATCATTTAGTGTTTCAGATAATAATAGTCGAAATTCACTCTGAATAATTTTGTATTTACACACCCAACGGATATCTCTTTTGTTCCGTTTAAAAAAAGTCACAACAACAATTACTTCTAAAATAAACAAAATCTTTGACACTGATTCATTGTTCTGCTTTTTTGTTTCACTGTGAATAACATTTTACCAAATGATATATACTCCGTAGAGTAGCGTTGCTTTATGCAGTGTCAATTTGACGCTTAGGTCTGACAGATTTGTGTTTGTATAACTCGCGATCACATACGAAACAGAAAGAAATCTGTTGCGTAACTACTGTGTTTCACTTATAAACTAAAAGCCGTCGTCGGCTCTTATCGCCAGATTGAATCGTATGCACGACAAATACTTTTTTATCTCGATTCGCCGTAAAATAGATCAAGCAGATGAACATTTATTTTTGTGATAAATAATCTCATACATAATCAACACAGGAGACGTATATCACCGCGTTATGATACAAATCGTATACGCTGAAGTCGCGCTCAATCATGACTTAATTTAAGTTCGGCGCATAGAGACAGAATCATTTTGGTGTCTGAGAAAAGAGATCTTGACCACTTATCGCATTAGTTTAAATAAGAAGTAACCTCAATTAATTCGTTAAAAAACTCTCGTTTTATATACATGTTTGTGTTGTTTTTTTACATAATTCCGTCGCAAAAATGCAAATTAATGTTCTTCGATTGAATATTTTTCCGGCTAAAGTTCGTGCTCTTATACGATTTGGTTGTAGCAAAAACCGAGGCATTTCTTATAATAAAAATGTTCGACAATTCAACCATGTTTGTTCTAAATATAAAAACTGTTTCTTTTAATGGTTTTTCAAAAAAAATAATATATTAACATATTGTTTCTCTTCTCTGATCGCCAACAGGAAGTACCTGATGAGAACTACGATTTGCCTTATAATCAAAACGAAACCAACGGCGATGCTGTTATGATAAAAATGGATGTGCCCAGTAGAGAAGAACCAAATTTCCCGAAAGAAAAATGGAAAACGCTTATTGGTAAGTTTTGGGAAAATTGCAGTGATTGTCGGAAGTTTCCCAACGTGACAATATAAAAACCATTGACACATGTGTAAATTAGTTTCTACACTCATAAATTCAACCCGTTTAACGGCAATGTTACCTTATACGCGCGCGCTCAAAACATCCGCAATTAATTTTTTATGGAAATCGGAAAATTATTTTCCATTGACGTAAATGGAAAAAATAAATGAATGAATGACATAATCCTCGTGCCAATTACCATTTAAAAAAAAACTCATTAATCCTAAACATGTGCATGCATACGTCCATCAGAATGGGTTGGGTAAGGACTTAACATACGCAAAATGTTTTAGGTTTCTTCACTTTTCGAGCGAACAATCTCGAATTAATTTAACTACGTCCATTTTTTATAGTCATCATTAACGTCATACGATTTTATGCAAATTTTTCGCGTAAATGCACGGTGAATTTAAAGATTTAATTCTGTTATCAATGCTCAAATAAGCACCTGTTTAGTGTTATCATCTTGTTATATAATCATTATTTTTTGTTTCTCTCTTTGTATCTCAGCATTCGTAATATTAGCCGCAAATATGATCTTAGCCACAGTGTCTTTGAGTCTAGTCCATGAACGTTTACCCGACCGAAAAACTTATAAACCACTTCCGGATATATTCTTAGACAATGTACCAGAAGCGCAGTGGGCCTTAAATGTTAGCGAAATTCTAATTATGATCCAAGTCAATTGTTGTATTGCACTAATTACATTTCACAAACATCGGTAAGTGCAAACAATTCATATATATTTAATGAAATAATAAAATAATTCGTGACTCCTTCAATTACAGATTCATTGTGATGCGTCGTGTCTTTTTAATTATGTCGATTTTATATTTTCTGCGTTCAATTACAATGTATGTCACTGTACTACCTGTATCGAGTACGCAATATGTCTGCAGCCCGAAGGCGAACGGAACCACCGTGGTAATCATTGCAAAACGCGTATTTCAACTTATGTCGGGTTTCGGTTTATCTATTAATGGCAAACACACTTACTGCGGCGACTTCATTTACAGTGGACACACTGTCATGCTCGTTTTGGGATATTTGGTGATATCTGAATGTAAGTTTCGAATATTGGATGCTATCGACGATTTATTTGATGAAATTGAGCTCGACCATACATCTGTTTGTTCGGAATCTCTTAATTACAAAACATAAACGTTTATTTAGAGCAAATGTTGAAAAAATTCTCAATTGAACTCGTTTGTAGAGAGGAACTGCGATATAGTCCAATTTCATCAAATTTGAACGATCATTTTTAACGACCTACGCTCAAAGTTCATAAAAATAAAACGATTGCATAACGTCTCCATAGCAAATACTAATAATTATTCTGTTCTAGATCTGCCGCGTCGAATCTCAGCACTACAATGGGTGTCATTTGCGATGGCTTGGGTAGGCGTATTTATGGTGTTGTATGCACACGGTCATTATACAATCGATGTTATAATTGCATATTATATTACAACGCGTTTGTTCTGGACATATCACACTCTAGCCAACAACGCATTTTTGATTAAGGTATGTTATTAATTAGAAGAAAAAGAAAAATGGCTCAATTCCCGTTATACATATACTTATTACATCAATTTAATTGTGCCCGTTTTGAATTGACATTAATTAAAAAAAAAAAAAACAATAAACTACAAATTACAATTTTTCATTGTGTAGCACGCCGGGGCGAATAATTATCTAGCACGAGAATGGTGGTATCGTGCATCGAGGTACTTTGAGGAAAATGTACGCGGTCAATTGCCGAATGAATTTGAATGGCCTTTGTCATGGCCTAGACGATTTCAACCGAAATTTCCAAATCGTGAAAGTTAACATTGATCAGATGCAAGCTGCCTGGGCACACAAACAGCGGCAGCAATACTATCAGCAACACACTCAAACACAAACAACATGAAAAATACACGATAAATACAACATAGATTAAGTTCAATTTTGTAAACATTTGGTAGACAAAAGACGTCAAAACACACTCTAATCTAACGAAAATGAAAGGAAACAAAAGAGAAAACATTCATATTTCGAAATATAATTGAGATATTTTTCGCATGTGATCACAGATGAAATTGTAAAAACAAAATATTATTGACGATTGTCTCTTTGTGTGTGTATATGTATGTCAATAATAAGTCATTTTGTGCATATTAAATCAAAAAGAAAGCAGAAGAAAAAAGGAAATTTGTATATGTAGATGAAAATTATAATGAGAACAGAATAATTCTACAAAAGTCTGATAATCGTGATCGAAATTCGTAGTCACGTTTGCAAACGAAACAAACAAATCGATTTTTTGTTGCATTGTACATCATTAGATTTTTATTAGCACATTAAATACTATAGTAATGCGAATACGTGAGAACTGAGAAATAGTGACAATTTCTCTCACATTTGTACAAAACACAGACCCACACACACACACATGCATATTCGCATTGCGACGACTGAATCTCTCAATTTAATATTTACATCGACAAAATCCATTTTGCAGTACAAAATGGATAGAATCAGTTCGTCCCATAGATATTTGCAAATTGCAATAGATTTCAATGAAGAAACATCCAACAGAATACTTCTCGAAGTAATGCATTCGAATTCAATTGTCAATCTATTTGTATTTTATTTTTATTGTAAAAATTTGTAATTGTCCAAGGGAAATTCTGTATATTTGGTGTTGTATTCATTTTCACTAAACAACAAAACATACACAATCTATCACACTCTCTTCATGAAAATATGTTTGTTAAATATCGAACTCGGAACGACGAATGTAATTGAGCAAAGTTGAATTTGAGAGGTGTGAGGGAAAAAACCAAAAGGGACATTCACTCTTAATACCTTACTTTTGCTACAAAATTTTCCTAAATGCTTTTTAAGTTACACCACTTTTATACGAAAATTAGTGTCGTGAAGAAGAAAAAGATCGGCGCGAATTTCGCCGAATTTAACTGTAAAATTGTTGAGAGTGAACTATCCCTAGAAATTTGTGTACATAAACTAAATCGAATGATGAAAATGTTCATATAGAAACAACGCACGAAAATTCTCAACACTTTATATGAAACAAAACTGGAAAAGCATTTTTTTGTAGCCTTTTGTGAAACTAATGTAAATAACTAGTTCACCTTTTTTTTTCTTGTGTAAGTAAAAGTAGCGACATATTGTCGTCATTGTCAAATTGACAAACATATAAACTCCTAAATATGGCCATAAAGCCATCGGAAACTTTAATATTAACAATTTGCTAACTAAGTTAAAATGAATAGATTTTATGGTTCCATTTGTGAATTCGAAAAGAACGTATATTTTTAGTGTTTTTATTGGTGGATCTGTTGAAATGATGACAAAAGAGAGTGTGTTCAGCTGTAGTACTTTTCAAAAATTCTATAATTTTTCGGAAAACACTTGTCCTTTATACGTTTTCAGCTGCGCGTTGCACTCAATCATCAGAAAATATACGCTCTTTTCGATGTCACAAAATGAGTCGAAGGACAATGAAAGAGCTGTTCAAAGAAGAATTAGAAAGAAACAAATTTAGATACTTTTAAATGAAATCAAATGATAGAGAAAAAACTGGTAATCTCAGAATAAAAAGATGGGAATAGTTATGTGATTTACGTTTAAAAAAAGGAAATAAGTAAAGAAACTAAAGTAATGTAGAAATTGCTCTACATTTAATCTAGTGTATAGTGTAGAAAAAAACGAGCGAAGCATTTGAATGGGGTTTTAATTGCCGGAGACACTTATAAGCCACTTCGTCCGTTAGTTAACACACTTCCTTTTCGATTGAATAAACTTTACTGCTTTTATTAAAGTCCATATTTATTTTATAAAAAAAAACCCAAAATATATTTGATATTAACAATAAAAAAACCAATTCAACAAAAAAAATGAAGAAAAATCACTCATTACTTATATCCTCGTTATAGACAAAAACTCAAAATGCAAAATGTCGTTCAAATATATTGAGAGTTGATATTTAAAAAAAAAAATACTTTTTTTTAAAATCAGTTTAAGTATTATTATGCATCAATTTGGAATCTCGTTAAAAGAATTATTGAAAGAAAACAAACATTCGTTAATACAATGTATTATTTACAATAGACATGATTTTAATGAATAAATAGTGAAAAACTCAAAATGAAATCTATTCTGCTGTTAAAATTATATGTGTACGTGAGAATATTCAAAATCAATGGAGGAAATACAAGCATAAAGCGTTTCCAAACATTGATTCAAATCATTTGATATATAATATATTCTCACATACACTTATAAAAAGGTCGAATTTTTTCAATGTGCGAATTTTCGCCAATTCGTTTTGTTTGATTTTTTTTCTGTTTCAAATGGTTTCAATTTAATCAGAGGTTTTATATTATTTCTTTTTCAGAAAAACGTTTTTTTAATGTATTAAGTCCGTATATTGTGTTTGATTTTTTTGTTGAATATTCTACAAATACAAATCGAAAGAAAAAACCGTTCTTTGTGGTCGAAAAAATGTCAGTTTGCAATAAAACAGTGTGTACTGTAGATTAATGACCATTAGATTCTATCGAAATTAACCATTATTTAAACTTGTATAACAACCTAGAATGAAAATGATTCTTTCTTTTGGAAGTGAGAGAAGACGAGAAAAAAAGAAGGTGAGATTTCCAAGTCATTTCCATTCTCAGCGACGCTTAATAAGAAATCATAATTTCAGGTCATTTAATTTATTACCCATACATACGTATACAATAGCGTGTATACTATAAAGCTATCGATAAAATCTTTTTATTTTCACTGTTGTCTCGAAATCAATCAACATTCACACGATATGCTATTGAGCCAACACAATCGAAGATTTGAAACGAGAATAAAAACGAATTCACCGTTAAAGAAAATCAAAACAGATTTTACTACAAAGTCCCATGCCAAAAACTGCCTATTTTAACACTGAACCCAATTCAAAACAATAGAATTATTAAAATAAAATTATTTTATAGAATTTAGTTCAGTGATGCGCAGTTCGAATCATTCAAAGAACCACACATTTATTGGCATGCTCCTTTAGAAAGACGATTTATGATTAGAATTTGATAATTAATTTTGTATGTTTAATGAAAAACTTAACTGAAAATTCTACATATAAAGCTTTATGTGTAAAACATTTTATTATACAACAAATTGAACACATACACGGATGTGTTTGTGAAACGATGCCGCGAAAAAGAAAGATATAATGCAACTGGAACGATATTTTCACATGTCATGTCAACACTATAGTATGTAAACATTTGTTTTTCTTTGTTTTTACTTTTCTGCCATTATATTAGCTATAAACTGAGTCTTTTGAAAATAAAGAGAAAAAAAACCGAACTCTGAAGTGAGATTCTAAACGAATTGGAGAAAAAATGGAAATAAAGAATATGAAAAACAAAAATTAATATGAAATCATGTTTTTATAATCACTTTTTGCATTTAGTATTGTAGATTGTTGGTGGCCGATAATTGATAATTTAATCATATCAGTGGAGGCACTTCCGATTCATCAATTTTTTCATCCTGAATACTCACAATGTTTCTATAATCAACAACCGTTGATTTTCTGCCGTCAGCTTTCTTGTGCGCTGGAATGAAAATTCAATAGCATTCAATGTGGTTAAGGTTCAATACTTCTAACTAAATCAAAAAAGGTGATTTATTATTTTAATGAATATAAAGCCAATTATCATTATAGGTACTATATGGCATTTTATTCATAAATTTTCTTGATCTTTTGATACGTAAAATCAGACAATCTATGTTATTCTTGGCAACTTTCAAATTTTCAGATCATTTCCGCCAATCACACGATAGAGTTGTTATCGATTCTTTTTCCCTTCCCTAAGCAAGCGCGATACTTCACAACTGCGATGTCATGTTCTGGATAAAATAAAAAGTGTTTAGAAAATTTAAATCACCTTCAATTTTTGTCTTTGCATCATTTTCTGCCATTTTAAGGTTTGTCGAATCAAAGGATAATTTCGGCATTGTGATTAACAAGTGACCGGTAGCTTGAGAACGTTTCGACGTAGCGTCACTGGTGCGAATCTCTTCATTCAATGCCATTTGAAATATTTTTCCTTTCACCGTTACGCGAATGTAATTTGGTTCGACGTCAACATCAATTGCGGATGTATCCAAATATCTGGAATTAAAATTGACATTCAACCTTCTTGATTCTAAGCAATTCACCAAGGGTATGGCATGCTATATAAAATGTTGGCGAACAAAAAACTTACAAATTTGTCGGAATAAACCTTATAATTCTATGAATAAAATTACACAAATATGAGATAGTCAATACGAAATTTGTAATTCAGATTCTATCCGAGAGATGGCGTTACGGTTTGGCACGTCGCCATTTATCTCATAAACGTGCCATTCCCTTGCAATTCACATATTAAAATGTCACAATTTGTGGGGTTAAATACTTGTAAACATGTAAATCCAGTTCAATGCGATCGTCGAAATCTTCAATCCGAAATTCTAGTTTTGGTTCGTTCAGGCTGTACGGTCGTCCACATTCAGCAAATAATCTTCGCTTTGGTTTCTCCTTTTTTACTTCAACATCATTGTTTTGGTTTTTACGGTGTTGGTTGGCAATGTCGACACGGGTCTCAGGGCAATGTTCACTGTTTTTCTTCCAAAACCTAGTAAACACTCAAATACAAATTGAACTTTTGCTTTTTTTTAAAACATGTGTTATTCTTACTTGTCATTTATTTCGTCATCCGTCAATTCAGCATTCTCATTGGCCGTCTCTTGTTGTTCACGTGCGATGCGAATTTTTTGTTCGTCACGTTTCATTTGTTGTTCGATTTGTTGTTGAATGATATTGCGACGGCATTGTTTATATTCTCTGTTAGCTATAATTCGATCGCTTCTCTTGATCTCGATGCCATCCAAACTATGTAATTGTGGCAATGTAGCGATGACAAAGTTTCGATAGCCAACGTAATTGGCACAATAATTCCCCGTCAAAATCAATTCACGCAAATTATAATTGTCACGCAAATTCTCGACACTTTGTAAGTAGCCAATGAAATTCAAGGTGAAATCCAATTTTTTCAACGATTCAAGTTGCTCTAAATTTTCGATAATCTCAATGTTATTCAATGATAAATTTAAATATTCCAACTTCTTCAATTTATGAAGATTCTCAATTTTTGAAATCAAATTGCTTTGCAACAAGAGAATCTTTAGGTCACGGCACCAGTTTTGAATATGTTCAATTTTTTCAATGTCTTCTTGGTGCAACGACAGCTCTTCAAGTGTACTGATTATCAACTCATTATGTTCGGACTTTTTTCGAATCAACTGTTCGGTTACTGTGAAACAGAATAAAAATGAAATTGAATTTTATCTTTCAATTCTTTACTACTTACTTTTAACCATTTTCAGAATGATTTTGCGACTGTATTGAAAATATATGTGATGAAAAAAGCGAATGTTTATCTTGACAACGCCATTGTATAAGCTGTTGTTAGGTCGATAAAAAAAATCGCATTTAATTTGCTTGGATACAATAAATCAATAGCACCATTTAAATATGTCAAAATAAATCACTTGTTGCACATGTGCCGGGGAATCTCAAGCGGAAACATGCGATCGATATAAACAAGAGAGTACATATTGTTCCCAATGTATGATGTTGTAGATTCTTCTTGATTAATATTCTTGACTACTGTATCTACAACATTGTTAGACATCACTTGTTTCGATAGTGAACCAGTTCAAAGTCTCATTTGTGACTATTGCCTTGACAGAATTTTTATTTGCTCGAAAAACAAAAGGAAGAAATTATTTGTAATTTAAAAATCATTCGACTGATGATATTGAAACTATGTATTAGATGGATTGCCTTACAACTGCCGTCAATAAAGAAAAAAAAAGAGTCTGTTGAACGACAACAACAAGTGAATCCAATACAAATAAAACGGAAATCTAATTCAAAAAAGCAACTTTATGTCATAAATCTGAGTCGCTGTGTCAATCGACTGGTGATTGAAATAAAAACGTCTATCGCCATTGATTTTTATATCAGATAGGTTTGAATCACGCTATTGTTGAAAATTGCTTATTAGAACTTGAGATAAGCAATCGAATAGTTAATAAGAAGCTCATATGAGTATTTTGTATACAAGCTAATTGCACGGCCATGAGTAATACGACAGTAGCAGGGGCTTTTTCTAAATGAAGAATTGATATGTGGTCGCTGGCGAATAAAAAAAAACAGAATACACTGGCGTGTAAAACAATAAGACAATCCGGGAGAGAGATATAAAATTTAACTTCACGCAAACGTATTTTTCCATTACCATTTTTTTTCTTACCTGATCAAATCAATTGAGCAATGCATGCAATTTATACAGTGCCATTTAGTTTCGATTTTGATTGCTTCGCGTTCAGATTGTCTTGAAACGAGTATTGCAAACAATTTTTTTCATAATAAAAATGACACGGTTATTCTCGAAAAGTGCTCTTGTTATAGCGGGATTTTTATATTTTGGCGTCTATCCGAGTAAAAATAGTTTTTCTTTTCTTATATTGTTTATAAGATTCTTGTAGTGAGAATTAATCTAAATTTTTGTTTTAAAATAGGTTTTCAAGTGAATGTTAGCCCAAAAGTAGATTTTGTAGAAGATAATAAAAGCGAACATGTCCCGCCAAAAATACAAGGTGTTCGTGTTATCGTTGACGCCACCAAAATGAATGGTATATATTTTACAATGTTTATAAAAGAAATAAAGTTCCCCAGAACATCAACGGCGTGGATTATACATTCACGAATTATTCTTGCACACGTTCACCTCTTAGCTGTGGTTCCTTTGCTAATTTTAAATTGAATCAGAACAGAAAATAAAACTTTCGTCGTAGTTTGGTGATAAACAAAAACAGTATCGAGTGATTCAGCGGCATGATTGTTCAAAAGAAAGTCCGCCTCCAAATGCTATTCAACGACTGAATTGAATCGGAGCTATTTTAGTTTTTAAGTTGAATCATTTCTTGGAATTAAACATATACTATTGAGAGAGTCGACAATAAAAAAAAAGTCAACATACATTTTGTTTTGTTTGAGCCTCACATAAAATACTATGATTTCATTTTTACTCTCATTCAAAATGATCGAAAAATAACGACTTCCACCAACTCACGTCATTATATTGAATTTATGAGATGCTTTGCGCTGAATTTAATTACGTGTCTTCAATATTTTTCATTTATTCTTAATTTTCTTTCTTCAAATGTACTCATCTCTATAAAATGCGAGGTGGTAAAATGGAAGACAAAACTGAAACGATTCGAATTCAAACGGATGGTGGTTCCAAACAAACGGTTGGTATTCATACAGATATCACTTTTGAGCTTGACGATAAGAAAAACGATACGAAAAAAACGGACGGAAAAAATGCTGAAAGTGATGAAGATGATGATTCGGAGGTGCCAGTGTACCGAGGCACCCATACCGAAGGCGAACGAAATAACTTTAATCGTCGATATGATCCAAACTTTTACATGAACCAACCAAATTACCACGGTACAAACGATGAAGACAGCTATAAGTATGCAGACACCGGTGCTGGAACGTGGGTTCGGTTTTTACCCATGGCTAATGGCGGTGGATGGACAACTGAACGGTATTCAGAGAGCTTTATACCACAAAGTATATTTCGCCAATCAAATGAATACTAATAAAATCCCATAAAAACAATTTTTGAATTGGTATTCTTTCAGATCGACGATTTCAGTCTGGTGGTGGGTATGCACCGTCGTCCTTTGTACCGTATGGCATTGGTCAGAAATCATTTCGACCATGTATATGTGACGATCGACAATCACAGTATTGGAGAGAAAATAATCGACGATCGTATGGTCCAAGCTCCTCAAGGCCACAGAGAACCGACGATAAATTGGAATATCCATTCTCTGAAACCGATTAGACTATAGCCAACGTTGTTATTTTCGAAATAAAAACATATTCTGTTTTGTTAATTTTTATAAATAAAATTATTCATGACATAATTTAAGTTTTACAATAAAGAAAAACAATCGCGAGTAATCGAAATGTTTTCTATGATTTGCTGTTGATTGTGTTTTCAAGTATTACAGATTTCGAATTTACTATGGTTTGTTATAAATGTTCGTACAAAATTTCTTTGAATTGATAACACGCTTTACAACCATTTAGATGTTCTGCGGTTTTGACTGTAGTTTTCTTACTGAATTTGTTAAATTTTGATGATGCGCAGAAATTGATATTGGATTTAAAAAACAATTCGATGTTATTTTTCTTTAAAAAAAATAATAATAAATCAAACACAACATTTATTTAACGAAATTTATTAATGACATCATTTAAATTTCACAACGACATTAACATTATGACATTATTCATATTAACATATGAAAAGCTAAAGAGAATGACACCTTTTCGCTGGTTATTTCATTTGTTCTTTGGATATATTATTACACTTATTAATTTAGATGTAAGAATGCATCTTATGGTGTATGGATACTGTAGGTACTACGTTTGCCATCATCCTCAATAGTTGTTGTGGCAGCTCTGTATTTCAAAATAATCAAACAATCAAAAGTATGTTTTTTTAAAATTAAAACAAAACTATAACACGAAAACATACCTGTATCCGGTTGTTTTTCCATTGAGACTTTGATCTTCGCCTTCGGCTGTTGACAAGAAGCCGCTGGTCTTTGTTTTACCACTTGAATCATACTAATAACAAGAAAAATGAAAATTAAAATCAATCTGATGTAAAATGTTCATTCGAATAAACATACTTCAGTTTGTGATGCCCATTTTGAGCTCTTTTCCCATGATTTAGTGCGGCTTCCCGAAGATGGTTGTACTAGAGCATTGCTTGCAATATCAGCACTTGAGCGGGATTGATATGCATGTTGTTGTCCTTGAATATTTTGGGCTTGCAAACGAGCCAAACGTTCCGATTCGCTAATGTATTCTTGTAAGTTTGATGAACCAAATGAACCAAAGTTGGAATCTACTTCAGAGTTGAAACGCGATGATAGACGCTGACTGTTGTATTCTGGGAAATTGACAATCCCACCACCGAGGTTTTGATTTGATGAGCTTGATTCGGAGAAATGTGACGACGATCCAGTCGATGGATAGGCGACGATTGGAGCAACCAAACCACCATTTGACGATGAGCTTGATTCGGAGAAACGCGAAGACATTGACGATCCACCCGTTGGATAGGTGACGATTGGAGCAACCAAACCACCATTTAACGACGACCTTGATTCGGAGAAACGTGACGACATTGTAGATCCACCCGATGGATAGGCGACGATTGGAGCAACCAAACCACCATTTGACGACGAGCTTGATTCGGAGAAACGTGACGACATTGATGATCCACCCGATGGATATGTAATAATTGGAGCACTTAAACCAGATGATCCTTGCTTTTGGTACCGTTCACTATGTGAGTAGCTTGATGAGCCTCCTGATGGAGCAGTGTAAACAACTTGTGGAGCAGATGCTTGCTTTCTATATGATTCGCGGTATGATGAGGAGCGTTGAGAGCCGCCAGTTGAAACTGGCGCCACAAACAATGTGGTTGGAGTTGATCTAATTTCAGAGAAACGAGATTCGGTGCGTTGTGAGTGTCCACCACCGGTGGTGACTGGTATAATTACAGGAGCGGCTGCTGAATGTTGTGTGTACTATAAAAGCGAAACGGAAAGAGATTAATTAACGCGATCCGATAATATGACACCGTTTGAATAATAAACATCTTACTTGACTGCGCGAGGAATGGGAGTTCGAGCCGCTTGCTGGGTAAACGGGGGCAATAACTGGAACGGAGCCTTGGTGCAAACGTTCGCTATGGTGCTGTGATGAGAATGACGATCCACCTGGTTGGTAAATAATTGGTTGGACAACTGGAACAGAGTTTGATTGAACGACTTTTTCGGAGCGTTCGTGATATTGTGAATCTCCACCTGGATAAACAACAGGGACAATGGTTGGTGCGGCCGATTCAACAACCTTTTCCGAGTGCTGGCTATAGCTTTCTGAACCTCCTGATGGGTAAATAACTTGATGAACAACTGGATTTGAAGCAGATCGTGAGCTTGAACTTTCGCTGTGGAAACTTTCTAATTCACTGCTACCACCAGCTGGAATAACGACTGGGTTTGATACAATATTTTCCGTGTTGTCAGATGATGAACGGTATTCGGATTCACTACCACTAACTGGTATAACAACTGGTCCTTGAGCATCATTTATCTAATGCCGGAAAAAAGAGTTCAGTAAAATAAAGAAAAAATTTTTACATATCGGCGGTATCGAAAATAATTTTTCCCGAAAATTTAAAATTCCAAAAAAAAAACAAAATGTTTTCGGGAAATGTTCCAGCATTCAAAATTTTTGAAAACAATATTTATAAAGTGAACAGAAGAAAGTAGAAAATTGAACACTAACCAATGACGATTCGGAAAATTCGGTCTTAGATGAGCTTTCTCCTGTTGAAATTGGTACAACGTAACCAACACCGCTTGTTTGTGATGATGTATCGTGTGATTCTTGTTGAGCATGTTGGCTAAAAAAAGTTTAATTCTCAATCAAAAATCAGATTCAATTTCTACACCATATTGGTTTTTTCTTCATTGTATTATCGAAATTATGTGATATGTTGATCCGGATGGATCCATCACATTGATAAATTTATTTGATGATATACCCTGATTTAAATTCACAAAAATTCGTAGCCAAAAATTGTTTCAGATAATTCTTGAAAAGTTCAAAGTTTAACAAAAAGTTTTTATTAAAAACGTTATCACTTAAATTTGAAAGTCATGCCGAAGTTCTTATGAAACGCTTATGAAATAATCAATTGACTATATCAAGTATTTTTTCTATTCTTTTCTTATTTTTTTTTCACGATTTCCGTTTCACACAGCACTTTTTTTTCTTTTAATTAATCTTTTAATTCAATTTCTCTTACCCCTCGCAATAACCGCAAAGGTCTTCACTTAGAGGGATTTGAACTTTTTGTGGATTGCTATCTGAATATTGTAATCTTTCAGCAGCACCTCTCTTGGCAGTTTCAACCGATTGTGAATGTGTAGCATAGTGATTTCTAAATTTTGAAAAAATAAAAATAAAAATTGCACCATTTTCTAATTAACAGAAAAAATTGCTTACGGATCATTAAATTGTGGTGCTAAAAATGAAAGAAATTAAAAAGAAATTATTTTAAATTAAATATTGTATGTTTCAAAACAATAAAAGTTTCCCCATTTACCAGCAAAAACTGCGTGAAGGCATAAAGCCAAAACGATGAACGATTTCATCTTTTCTCTGTAACAAATTATTTGACTAAAATATCTGAAGTGTGCTCACTGCCTGTTAAATATAGACTAGACTGAAATGAGAATTCGGTTCTTATTAAATGCTATTGGATCTAAGCCCTCTCCTCTCGGTTAAGTCTCAATTTGACTCGGATAACCCCGAACGATCCTATATTAAAAGAACAGATCGCATTTCATTGAGCAGAATGTGAGAATTAAGATTACGACAGTTGACGCGAATTAAATACGAACAGTTTGAATACACTTTCGTGACCTATTGGTACTTATCAAGTAGTACATGGACAGTCCGGTATCATTTTTCGCCTTTTTTCATTTCAATTTACCAAATGAAAACATCAATGCCAATTATTTTAAATCAAAATATCTCACTCAAGTTTGTATCAGTTCAGTTTTTTGAATGAAACATTTATTGACTATATTAAATTATTGTTTGTAAATAGTTTAATAGTGTATATGTTTGAAAAAAAAAAACTTGTCAATAATACTTCCGTATTTTGATGTCGAAAATCTAGCTCCTTGATTATTATAGAACTATTCCAATGAAGGACACTTAAAATGTCCGTCTGATATATGTATAGATTATTGAAGAAAGAAAAATTGAAAAATTATTGAAAAATTGATACACAATCAAATTTAATTGGAATAACGAAAATTAAAGAGAAAAATATTTACGACGTCAGCTTCATTTAAAAATGTGTATACAATTGAAAACGAAAATGACGATAACCCCTGGTAATGTATTTCAATTCAAATCCCAAATAGAAAGAAAAAGTGCCACACATGAGTAGAACGAGAGCCGCACTGATTCGCTTTTTGTCCATTTTTTAATTGGTTGTTTTTCTTTTATATTCAAAAAAGTAGGCGCTCGAGGCGAAACATTGCGAAATATTCTAAGAAACGATAATGAATGAAAAATTGATCACACAGACGTTGTGATAATCATTTTTATTCACTAATGACATCATCCCAGAACTTAAACAAAAAGCCTCGACTTTTGTTGTTGAATCAACAAGCAATAAGAAAAAAAACTAACAAAATTTGTTAAAATTTATGACCGAGTAAATAGTCTTCGTGTATTAATTCTTTCAAAATAAATTGAATGAAACATTCTATTTTAAAAAAAAGGGATATAAAAAAAGAACATGAGAAAACTATGATGTTGAAAATAGATTTGTTTCTGATCGTTCTCTGTTGATATTCGTGTGTCATCGCACAATTTGAAATGTTGAACGCCTCAATTCTCTACTGAATAAGTAGATACTTGACCGTTGTCATTGATAGTCGTTAAAGCACCTTCTTTGTGTTTTTTAATTCCATTTAAATCGGACGAACTGGAGAATGATGATGTTTGTATACCAAAGTAGCCAGCTGGAGGCACGTTTCCGCCAAGATTTTCGCCCGAATCAAAACGAGTTTCCACATTTGGCTTATTCTGTAGATAGATATAAAAAGTAATATTTAGCATTTCAAATGCGAACCAATTACATATCTCAACTCACTTTGTTTGGTGGGTGAACACCGGCTGTTTGATGATATCCGGTGTTTGGATTATATGCGCCAGTTGCATAGGCATAATTAGGGCCAGCGTACCCAGGTTGGTATGCAGAGTTTTTCAATGCATTTAAGTAATCTTGTTGTTGTTTATAGTACCTAAAAACATTCGAATCATTAAATTTTCATTCAAAACATGATGTCGCCGATTTAAAAATATAATTCCATTATCGCCATTCAGCAGTGATGGCAGTGCCATGCATGTGTAAATACAAGTGAATGGTGCTTTAATATGATGTTTTTAAAAATTATCATTTATGCTTATCAATTTTTTTTCCAATTCTAACAAGCAGAATTCTTTTCGATTTGAAAATAGAAAGAAAACGAAAATCGCTATTCGTTCATAAACATTGATAAGACAATTTGCATGATTTTGAATGAAATTATATAGCTGTGATGCTATTATAACTGTATGTGTTTTTTCACATTTTTTCTTCTACTAAATCAAATCGATTATGATGGTGCTGAGAATAATACATGTTCACATCAAAAACTGATGCGAGATTGTGCGTGCGTAATATATGTGCGGTGCAAGCATGTGTGCTGAACGTATTAATTTGAATTCAATAGTAAAAAAATAGATGTTTGTACTTAGTTGGGCCAAGATAAGAGGTGGCAAAAGCCGTAGCACCAGGCGTTGACTGTGCAACACTTCCTCCTCTATGATGTATTCGTTTCATTTTACAAAAAAGAAAATTCTAGAAAAATAAAGCATTGACAATGTTCGAACATTGATACATACGCAGCATATTGTTGTTGAAGGCCATTCAAATATTGAGTGTACTCATGTGGTGTGGCAAGTGGTTGGAATGGTGCAAACGGTTGCATTGGCTGAACTTGCTGGAATGGCAACGGTTGGAATGGAGCACCAAATCCAAAATTTTGTTGCGGAAATGGTGAATATTGTGGATTAAGACCATATTGACCATAAGGATAGCCTATGCGAAATGAGATTTTGTCATCGTTTGTAATTTAGTTATTATATTCTTTTTGTTAAAAAGTAATTAAAGCTGTAATCGTATTTAATTACCTGGACCATATGTACCAAATCCAAAACCTGGCTGACCAAAATTGGATGGACCATAATAACTGGGGTTGTTTGGATAACTAGGGTTGTATTGATGATTGGGGTTGTGTGGATAATTTCCGGTTTGTGTGAAACTGCCACCTCCTGGCTTTTGCTGTGAAGTGGTATAAGTTCCTTGTCCATTGTTGCCGGTGTGGGTGTATGTGTGACCAGTGCCATCGCTATTGCTGCTTGAGCTTGAACTTGCCGATGATTGACCTAACAAAATAAATAACATATTTCATTATATCAGACATGGTTTTGTTTTAAATTAAAAATTCACATCACATCTTTCGTAAATGGTTTCAAGTCTGTTTTTTTTAAGCAAAACAATAATGTTTCGTCTTCCAATTCAAGGTTATTGGCTCAATATAAAACATATGGCGATTTTAATTTCTGTTTTTCATAAATGTGATCTTTGTAAGACAGCAATCATCTGTCAGATTAGATGCGTATTGCGAAAATAAACGACTAAATGTTCTTTTCTGATGAATATATTAGTCGACATTGCTCAAAGTAATTATTCGCAATGAAATCTATCTGTTCATAGTTTTGTTTAACAAGATATTGTATCAAGTATATTCTCTCAGCGCACATGCCATCTGATTGAGTTCGGCGGTTATTTGTATCAGAGTGGAAGAGAAAGAGATCAACTTTATCATGTAGACACGTTTCTCTTTCACTCTCATATAAATAATCACCAAGCTCTGCCAGATGAGATATTCCAGAATGTGTCTAGGTTCAACCCATGACAGATAAATGTTTAATTTTTTTATCGCTTAATTTGGGAAATACGCAAAAAGGTCCCAGAAATCGCAGAAATGTTTCGCGACATTAAATAACCTTTCAAATAAATTCAATGGCATACAGTCGAACTCCGATAATTCGAATCATGTGGTCACCAGTAATTTCCTTTGAATTATCACAGTTCAACTGTACTCGAAACAACCCGAGTGGAAAAAATTTGGATTTAAATCAATCGACTATGGTCACTTCGATTAGCCAGTCGATTATTTTGTCTATTTCTCCAGTAAATTTGTCATAAAATATAATTGGTCACATTTTTTCCATTCGGGTAATGATTTCAATATTTAAATTATGAAAAACTGATGCTTACCGCATTCAACTCCGGTTGACAGCAACGCTGCCATTATGCTTAAAACAACTAGTGGAACCATTTTCTCTATACTAAATTGATAATTTCGCCAAAACAAACAACACCTGTAAATCAAAAGATTTGTTGTATTTGAAAAGATCTTCAATTAAATTGAAAGAAGAAAAAATATGTCGACATTTCTGGATATTAAAAGAATAATATCTTGTCTCTAAAGTTGACAATGCTAAACTGAATGATTGCAATCGACCGGTTTTTCAGGAGTGGATATGTCTTTAAATGCTTATTTAGCTGAATAAATACCTTTGAAAGTGAGCAAATAGCCTAAACGGGTTCTTTTACTATTTCGTTCTTTGTTTTCGGTGTGTGCTGTCACTGTAACAGCAGTACACTGAGTGATTCAGATTCAGTGATTCTTGAGCATTTACGAACAAACAAAAATCTTTAAATTACGTTAGCGATAGTGAATAAAAACAACCTCTTTAACCATTTATATTTTCTCAGGTTTTTTTTGCAACATCGTCATTTTTTTGGTATTTCCAAAGACGGATAGTTGATTGAGTGACAAATCACAAATGAGATCATAGTGTCAATGTACGAATTTGGATTGGAATATAAATCACTAAATTACACAGCAATTTCAGTTCAAAAGAATATCACGTATGTGTCGAGAATACAAACGAGACAACAAATACATGTTGATGATGTTGTTTGGACAAAGAACAATTTAATCACATTGTACATTCACTACTTTGTTTGTTCACGCTCCGAAGAGAGTGAGTAAGATGTAAATGAGAAACCTGATATGCTGAGCAAAAAAAAGTGTGTACTGTGCGTGGAAACTACTTTCTGCAGATTCTGATTGCGCTTTTATTTCTGTGTGTTTCTTTGTAGCAAAGAACGTGTTTGTTCTATTTTAATATAGCCATTGATTGAAGAGCACTTTGAAAGTTAACGGTAAATATCTCATTTGTATATTCATCACGGTGAACGATGAAGTGTCAATGATATGCTTATGAAACCAATTCAATTTTATATATTATCGATTGACATCGTTAACATAGGATTTATTTTTAAAGTCTCTTTATTGCGTTGTGGGTTTTTCCCGGTTCAATATTTGGCGATAAACGTCAACAACACAAATAGCTACAAATACGTTTTTTGACATAAACACAAAGTCACACTTTCTATATATTTACACACTCTTACTCACTTTTTTCTCTCAACAAAATCCAAATTTATTGAAATGATTCTGAATGAAATTATGGGAGATGCAAAATAAATCGAAAAGAGAACAGAAGAACTCACCAAAAATTAAAAGTCACGTTTGGTCACAAGCGTTTATCGAATGTAAATAACATACAGCCGATGAAACTATCGGACTATATCAAGTCTAAAGAGTGGCAGACGCGTATATATTCACTTAGCACAATTCACACATATACACACACACAACGCACGCACACAACCGCCGATTGTTTTGTGCCTCAAACAGCGAAAGAAACCAAAGCGGATCGTCGATTATATTTTTTTCAATCTGTTTGTAGAAATTTTGCGCCAAATTAGTCATTTCAAAATGTAATTCAGAAGAAGAAAAAATGAGTGAATACAATGAGATTCGTTTTACTCGGATAGCTTACATTGGATACGTAAAAATGATTTAAGAGAAACCATAATTTTGCTGACACATTGTTTGATGCTAAATCTCAATCGATTTGTTCTTAATCGCGCACTTTTTTTTTATTCACACACGGTTATTCATACGATTCTCAGTTTTACATGAAATAATTCAATTTTGAAATTCCGGGATTATCTCTTTTTATGTTTTTATATTGAGTACCTAGTTTTGTAATCACGTTTCTATCTTTTCAATGACTAAGTGTTGAATCAAAAACGCGATTAATAAAACGTCAACATCAATTAACACATTATTGGTGAAAGTCTCAATTTCACTAATTTCATTGATTGTATTAAGTATGTTAAGGGAGTGGATCTAGTGTTAACTAGTCTGTTTATCTTCTTTAATCAATTGAAATACATACATGGCCACAAGAACAGCATTATATTAAATCTGAAGTTCAATAAAAAAAATCAGTATATGTGTAGAACATCACGATAAATGGCTTTGTCAAATCATTTATTGAAATTCACTTCAAGGTCTTTCGCATTCTCGCACATATAAGTAATATATTTGCATAGCGTAATAACAGATATTGAATGCATACAGTGTTTTTCCAAATCAACAATGGTTTCGTTTCAGTATTTCTCACAATCAGATGAAACAAAGTTGCGATTCGATTTTATATCAACTCGATTTGAATTCTTTTCACGGACAATTAGACTTGACAATTTCCGCTCTTAAACGTATATTCAACTTAAAATATTTCCAGAAATGTGTTTAATTGAATCCATTAGAAACGCGTATCTTTTGTGACAATCAGTCTAATGAGGTTTTGGACAATGTGTATGTTTATTTAAACCTGTTTTCAACACCTTATTAAAACAAATGGAGTAGATTTATTCAACATCAGTGAATAAAATAAATAAAGATTTTGTTAAAGGAAATAAATTTATTCATAACTGATAAAAAACGAGATATAAAGAATCGAAAAAGTTCGTAGTGATGCGTTTTGAAAATAATCATGTCTTTAGGACCATTGTGTGATGATACTAAAAATTAAAAGGAAAAATCGCAAATATTTCCAAACATGTGAATCTATCTAGCCTGACAATAATGTACCACATGCTGTGCCGAATAGTATGGTTTCACCCACGACTGTTCATCACAAAGAAACTAGTAAAGGTCCACTCCATAACAACTATCCTTTTTCGCATCTGGAGTTAAAAAAAATGTTGATTAATATTAACCGATTTCCATTTAAGTCTCAGCTAACTTGGAGCCATCTAACAGACAAAACTGATTGAATGCTTTTAATAAAAACGGTTTTTTTACAGTTGCTCTTGTTCATTTGAAATGCTTTCATATGCGAAGCTTTCGTTTGACAGTTACTCCCTGCTATAAATGTAAAAGTCAATTGAATAAAAAAATGTGGGTTTTCTATCCAAATATAGTGTGCAACAATATTCACAATCCAACATAAGTATCATTGTTATATTACAACATCATTGTTTTTGAGATGAAATGAAGTTTTGTTAATCGCAATTTATTCGTACTTTGTACGTAAATAACCTGAAATGTCTAACATTTCCAATTTTTCTTCAATATTATTCTACTGTTTGAATTATATAAGCGCTGCAAAATCTTATGTTACAAAATAAACTAAAGAATGACGAAAACGGTTGAATTATGTTTGCTGAAATGCGAGTATCACTTGCGTTGTATATTGACAATGTATTTGAACGCGACTCGATTTAAGAAGCGCCATCTCTTTCACGCCAGGTTCTAATATATTTTTTTCTTGCAAATACAATTGCAAAATTGTATAAATTGAATAAGTTTTGCAATAATAATAACGAAAATAATTAATAGAATTTATAATAAATAAAAAAAATTGAAAAAAACACACAAATATTTTATATTATATGATATGTAGCTTTGCCTTGTGGACTTTGCCTTGTGGACTTTGCCTTGTAGACCATGTAGAGATTACGTGGAGAAAATATGTATTTGTCAAACATTCATACCTGTCAAAAGAAACAACGTAAACAACACGAAGTGAAGCTATTCTGGTGAATCATATAATATAAAATATTTGTTGGTTTTTTCAATTTTTTTTATTTATTACAAATTCTATTAATTATTTTCGTTATTATTATTGCAAAACTTATTCAATTTATACAATTTTGCAAGAAAAAAATATTTGCAAGAAAAAAATCATAGGGCGAATCACGCTAGTGAATACTAGAAAAACTAGTAAATCTAGTGCGAAGAATGACGTCACAAACGAAGCCAACTTCACACCAAAGGCCATATAATTTATATGAAAAACTACTGAGAGCCAACTTCACGCACTAGAATTTTCTAGTTTTCTAGTGAAATCTTATCAAAAACTAGATGCACTAGAATTTCGTGATTGACCCCATGAAAAAAATATATGAGAACCTGGCGTGAAAGAGATGGTGCTTCTTAAATCGAGTCGCGTTGAAAGCCGACTGTAAGTGATACTCGCTGAAATGACTTTCCATTTATTAATGGATTTTGCCCAGAGGCTCGGCTCTCTAGTCGGCTCTCGTATTTTCTTTTTTGGAATCTTTTCGCGTCCAAATAGTTTCTCATCACCGGAAAACGCTCTAAATTCCTATTATTTTTAACCATTACACGATAACCAAACTGATTGAATAAACTAAATCAATTATATACTATGTATTTTAAATTAAATATTTAATAGTTTACCGGTTACGACATCTATCATCAGTGACAACGTTAAACCCATACAATTGAATTCACCTGCGAAAATAATATTGATTGTTATCAATAAAAATATTGAATATGATAATGTTACACTTACATGGTATGCGTCTGTCAAAGTCTACGTCGGAAAGTTCCTTGAGTTCTATAATCACACATAAAATAATTAGGAATATTGATTTTTATTTGAAGATACTTCATTGTTACCGTATTCGTTGCTGTAGCCTATAAAGATATGTCAAAACTAATTATCAAATAGTTAATAAAAAATTCATGTGTGTTTCTTTACCGCCAGAGAACTTGGGTATCATATTTGGGTCCAGTTCCGGAATAGAACTTGGAGAAATGTAAAATATAAAAGAAATTAAGTGCGTTGTTGATGCAAAACAAAGTCACGTATATAGATATTTCTTATACATTTTTGTTATTATTACTGAATGGCTAGATTGTGTTCAATAAAAACGGATCCTATTTGTTATGAAGAATGGTCACAGAGTAAATTCGTCATCTAATATCGTTTTTGTTATTGTTATCATTACTATTTATACTTTTTGCTGAAAAGAGAAAAAAATAACACTATTTTTATAAGAAAATCATTATTATTAGTTAAAATTCCATACCAGTTGCGAATAGAATAAGACATAAAACGAGTAACATTTCGATTTTCATTTTGAATGTTGTTGAAATATTATACGAGCTCAAACACAATTTGATAAAGACTAAGGCGAAAGGACTTGAATACCCACTCTTATGTGAGTTATCTCGTACTTTCGAATTTATTTTCGAATTGAAACAAATTGAAGTATGAATAATACTAACTTTTGACACATCAGTTCATTAAACATGATCTTTGAATTATATATATTATTATGTGTTCCAGTGTCGAATAAAAAATGGCATCAAAAAAGCTGCTGGTAAGCATTGTATGGGATAAAACGGGGAAATACATATTTGTTTTAAAGTCTGAAATGTTCATAGTTGAAGTAAATTTCAAAGACAAAATCGATTTGCGGCGATTAGTGAAGTGAAACAATTTGTTTAATTTGTTAGAGTGCAGTTTGTTTATTTTCCAATTAATTAATTTTGATCTCATTAAAAAGTTGCTTATCACAAAATTGTACCAAAAAGTGTTTGCTTGTTTTATCTTGACATATACCAAATACACATGTTTTTTTAAATTAATTAAATCTAATGTTTATCTTCTTCATTTATGTTTAATGTTTGTTTATCTTCACCGAAATATGTATTTATTATTCATAAATTATCCTAATGTGAGATTTTAAACTACTAATACAAATACAATAGTCAGTATACAAATGCATGTCGAACAGAGAACGAACGCGAACGTATATGCTCTATGTGGTACAAACGAAGTGTGTTGCGCGTGCGGCAACCCCTACGATTAAGCATCTCGGCAGCAATGCTGTACAGGCGCTGCGAATAGCTAGCGCTATTCAGATAGGAAAAAACCATCACTGGAAAAAATACCAGGCAATATATTGAACTAACTGGTCAGTTGAGCTGAAAGTACGTTAGCTAGCTAAATGAACTAAAACAATAGAAGTTATTGTTATAATGAACAATCACTTCTATTAAAACAAGAAAAGTGATTCATCATTAAAACAATAACGTCTATTGTTTTCTCCCATTTAGCTGGCTAACGTACTGTCAGCTCAACTGACCAGTTAATTCAATATATTGTCTGAAAAATACCCTCATGTTAAAATGGCATTTTGTTCTGATTACTTTGAATATTAACATCTGAGTTTTCTGAGAGTAGTGATGAACATACTATATAGTTTACCGAAGTATAAGTGAATTCTACCACAGCTATTTTTTGAAACGTCAAACCCTAAGTACTAACCAAGTGGTAAGTATTACATTATTGACTTGTATTGGTTTGACGTTTCATAAAATAGCTGTGGTAGAATACACTTATACTTCGGTAAACTATATGTTCACCAATAGATGTCGCAGATCTACAACAAATATTTTTGGTGTGTTCTTTGCATATTTCCAAATTTTTTTACAGCAACAGCAGTTTGGTACTGTGGAATGGAACGAAATGAAATTGAATTATTTTCTTACAATGAAATTTATTCCTATATCTTTGATTACATTCATTAAGAGAACCGTTATCACATGGCAATATTTATATACTCAGAAAACTATGTTTTTTCAACGATTCAAGAATATGAATTTAACGTACCTTCCGTGGAAAAACACTCAAATTTAACTGCAAAACAATTTCTGATTGTTCAAATAATTCCTTTGGTTCGACTATTTTGATTTTTCAACCATGATAGCAGGAAACACACACCGTACTCTCAGAAAACTCAGATGTTAAAATTCAAAGTAATCAGAGCAAAATGTCATTTTAACATGAGATTATTTTTTCACATGGTAAAATGTCATTTTACCCGCAACACATTTCTTGGCGGGTAAAACGGCATTTTAACATGTGAAAAATTATCTCCATGTTAAAATGAAGACAAAATGCCATTTTAACATGGGGGGATTTTGTCACATGGTAAAATGCCATTTTACCTGCAACACATTTTTCAGAATGAAAAAACTCGCATTCCTTATCATCTAAATCACGATTGGCATTCGGTCACTATTCAATAGGTGTTACATGGGAAGTTTCGATTACTCATAAATGAAAAATCCTGAAAGTAAAGGTAAAGTAATATGTAAACTATGTTCAAGAATATTTAAATACAGAATGCAGTGCCAATACAATATGCACACGCGAAAAATAAAAATACTGATTTCGATCGAGTGTTTTTCAAAAATTCAACATTGCTTGTCTACGTTTCAACAAAGAATGTAGCAATGTGGAATACACACAAATGACAACTAACCTCAATATGAACAAAAATTGACATAAAACTCAATTTATCCGAAGTCTCAACCGTTTTTGGGATAAATTTTAGTCTAGGGGCAGGGCAGTACTAGAATAATAATTTTAGTCTAAAGTAATTCTACGTTGTAAGCAGTAATCCTTACTAATCCGCAGTAATACACACTTGTGTAAATTCTAACAGCAGTGCAATGACGTTTCATGTGTACGTTGTGTATTACATTTGTTAGGAATAAAGCGATCTTCGTCTAGGGGGATTCCGCGCGTATTTATGTACCAAAATTTAACTTCATTCTTAAAATCTCATAAAAATTCAAATATCTCACCGTATCTGACAATATCCGTAAGTATTCACTGATACCCACCATGTAGGATACTTCAAATTTTGTCGAATATTTTGACATTTTTAGAATATGGGTGAATATGAGATAATAATGAATGGTGGTGAATTTTTGGCGCTGCAGACCTATTTATAATAGGTGAATTATTGGGACAGCTTCTAAGCTGTCATGGTAGTTGTTTGTTACATGTGTGTAAGTTTTTGCATTACAAAGCAAAATTGAAATGTGCCATTTGCAATGGAACGGTTCTGGCGTGAGTATCAAAACTTCTACGAATATAAAATTCCAAAAATTATTAAAGATATTTTGGCTGTCTGTGCAATCGATAGAGTGTCATTAAGTAATTTAAATGAACAAAGTATAAAAGAGATTGAACAAATAGTTAATCAGAACAAATCAATATATTTTTTAGTATATAGAAGCTGTCATAATAATTCACCACTTCTTCATTCCCTGTTCTTGTCAAGTTCAACATTGTCGGTATTGCAGTTCAGAAAATCTCAAAATATCTCCCAAAAAACGTAAAGTTGTGTTAACATCTCTTGAATTTGTTGAAATCCCCCGAATTTGTTCATATTTATTCATATTTAAGAGCGCGGAATCCCCCTAGATCTTCGTATATTGCGGATTGAAACAATTTATTCGATATTTATTAAATTAAATTCGATATTTTCCATTTTTTACAATAAAATGTCTCATCCGAAATATAGGGCGATCGCGTTATGCCTAGCAAATGTCATACACAACGTACACATGAAACGTCATTGCACTGCTGTTAGAATTTACGTAAGTTTGTATTACTATGGATTAATATGGATTACTACTCACAACATAGAATTACTTAAACAAAAAAGATTATTCTAGTACTGCTCTGCCCCTAGATTTTAGTATGCATTTTTTCCGCTCAAATGCCAAAGTGATATATGTTAAGCACTTAAATATTTGAGCGAAAAAAATCTGAACTAAAATTTATACCAAATACAGTTGAGACTTCGGATAAATTGAGTTTTATGTCAATTTTTGTTCATATTGAGGTTAGTTGTCATTTGTTGACACATAAAAATAAAAGTATTTGAGTCAGCACTGTTGATAGATATCGACTGGAAACTGAAGCAGTCATCGTAACATTGCTCTTCAATAGATTTTGTCAGGGTTTTTGTATGGGATGAGTTCAGTTTCATGTACAAATCTTCTCTCAGCCTTTTACGATATTTCAGTGTGCCTCCATATTCTACGTTGCGTTATATATAATATGCACCTAAATTTGCTCCATTTTCGCAGACTAACAGCAAGCAGGAGTATTGAATGATTCGTTTAGTGAATGTGATGAAAAGCGACAAAAATGTCGATTAAAAATGGTCAGGTGTTATCGGCGGTTATCGGTTTGCAATAGCAAGTGTTTTGTTTCTACCAATATTCGTACTAACAGTTGATACAATCCAAACGCAAAATTGTTGTTTTCTATTTCAATGTTTATTTAATTCAAATGATTTGATCTTTTTAAAGGACAATTCAGGCACATTCATAAATAAGAAAAAATTTCTAAACAGCTTTTTGTACATTCAACGATATTGGATTTCTGAACAATAAATATATTCATTTGATTCGCGGTGTATACTTTCATCCCCTTTTTTCACATAAAAAATAGATTCAGATAAAATTTTGGAAAAAAATACGTAGATGAAAAAATAATAATATCAATGTATCTTTATGTATTGTATATAAAGTACATCTATATTGTTGACTGAAATGCGACTGGTGGCATTTGATGAAATTTTCAAAAACAAAAAAAATTAAAACAAAAAAAATGTGTCAAAATTGTATAAATTGAGCCTTCTCATAACTACCAGTCAATGATCCAAAAAAATGGAAAAGGGATAAATACAATTGACAGTGGAAATGTGCTTTTCTCTCATATAAAATCCAAATAATATCTCATTCTTATTGTTGCGATTGTTTAAATTTTAAATTTATAGTTTTTATAGTTTCGATTTGGCGATTGGTAGACGCACATCTCTCCACCAAGAAGCTCGTTCCATTGCGCCTGGATTTGTCATGAATTCATTCTGCAGATTTTCATATAGCTGAAAAATGACAAAACCACAATATTTCATTATTCATTCATATTTTACACCAAAAAAGGTGCGAACTTACCAATCCATCGGACTTTCCGATAATCGAATTCAATGCAAAGTCAGGTGGTGCCAGCGCATCAACAACAGCAACAGAACTGTCTTTCAATTCGCCACAAAGACGCAATAATTCGGTTCGTACAATGTCGCCAAATGAGTTTTGTGCTGTGGATGATGCGAAGCATCCTTGATAGAATGTTGCCAAGTGTTTCTCCAAACACCAAAAACCATAAAGTTGACACACCAATTCCAAGATGGGCCGTAGTGTGCTGGTTACATCTGGAAGTGTTAAGCGTTCTTGGAAACTTTTCAACGCATAATACTCAGAATATGTGCGAGTTAAATCACGAGCACGAAACACCTGTGCATTATTACGTGCATCAAATCGACTCGATCCATTTGCGGTCGATTGTTGCATGTGCTTAGACGTTGAATCCATAAGATAACACATAAGCCATTGATAGCAATCTATGAAAACTGGTGAAGAAATAGGGAAGTTAGGATTTTTTGTTCAAAAAAACAAATCATGGCCGGTGAAAGGTACTCACATTCAATACTGTTTAGGGAATTTTTGTCTCGAATTTGCTCGAACGTGTATGTCTTGATGACACTCCATCGATCGATGAATTCAGCCGTTCCCGACGGATTCTCAACACCATTTTCCCATTGTCGAACAAGCCAATTCGACGTTTGTTGACCCAATACATTGTTGTCACCCTCATATGTACAACATGCATCGTGATTATTTCGTAGCTCACCCAAATTGGCAGCTTTGTGGTAACCCTGCAATTGATTTACATTAGTCTTTAACTATTATCCATTGAAAATCATTGAAAACGACTTACATAACCACCGCAAGCCTCACGTGCTTCTTGTATAGCATCTCTGGCTGTCCATGTTAACAACGCCTTTGAACTTGATATCAGTGCATGAATCTCTGACACTTCTTTTGTCTGGAAAGATGAAAAAAAGCATATTTGTGTTAACAATCTTTATGATTTTCCGGTAGAAAATAAGTTGCATTTACTTTGGGTTCGAACAAATCTTTGGGTTCGAACTCGTGTTTCGCTTTTACCAAATCTTTAAGCATATATACTATATTTCTATATATTTACTATTATTATTATTATTAATCCCTGTATTTTTGCTGCGGCCCTAGCGGGGTAAACCTTTAATATTAATTAAAATACATGAGTAAAAATGAAAATCCACGACTCGGAAAAATCCACGACTCGGATTGCAAAAAATCCACGACTCGGATTGCAAAAAATTCACGACTCGGAAAAATTCACGACCTATAAAATCCACGACTCGGATTGCAAAAAATCTAATAAGTTCTTATCATGGGGTTGCCATTGATCATTAGTAGATTTTGATCATGGCTTTGTGGCTTGTTGTTCTGCAAGCGTGCGCCCCAGCTATATTTAATGTGAAAAATAATTTCTTAAATAAGTTGCATTTACCAATTGTTCAAAGCCGTTGCTATTCGCCCTTGATTTCTCGACTACGGCTAAATATACATCGGTTAGAGTTGTCACTGATATTTTTAACACGCAAGCAGCTGCCAAATATGGGAATAGACGCCATTGCTACAGAAAAATCAATATTTTTGTATTTATATGATTCGATTTGGTTGGGTTTTTTCATAGGTAACGACGACAAAAGGTTAACCTAGTTTAGCTTACATGTAACTGATATTCAATGATTGGCATTTCGGGTCCATCAATGTCTTGTCCAAATTGTTTTCGAACAGCTGCATATCGAACGGCTATGACAATGGCATCGGCCAATGTATTCGATGATTCTTGCATGATACCAATACGTCCGGCTGAGAATGATTCGAGCGCAGCTCCCAGAATCTTTGTTGGTTCACTGAACACACTTTCATATTGGCCATCGGGTGTTACATCACCAGTTTTATTGAGAAGATTTTCTCGTGGAATGCGATAATTGTTGAACATTACAAATCTAAACGACCAAAAATCAATCAATAAATACATCATTTGAAGTTTCTAGATCAATCTAGTATTCAAAAGTGTCGTACCCATTATCAATGCCATTCAATCCGATTTTCTCGCCGATATCGCCGACTAAAACACCTGGATATGGTATAAGTGTGTTGGGGTCCCTAATCAATACCAAAATATCGATTAAATTCATATTGATTTTTGATAAAATGTTGACAAAGCCATACCTGATTGGAATTAAGAATCCGTGCAGGCCATGATTTTTGCCGTCGGCTGTGTACAAAATGGCAAACGTAAGTGCGATTGTGGCCGTTTTGCCCAGATTCCCCACCCAACACTTGGCTGCCTCAAAATCGGGCGTGTGAATGATGAATTCTTGTGTTTTTTCATCATATCGAGCGGTGGTTCGAATTCGTTTTGTGTTGCTGCCATGCGATACTTCAGTTATCGCCAAACAGGTGATAATCTAAAACGAAAACATTAAATCAATTAATCAGCTGTTATTGAGGGCTGTCAACAAAATACGGTTTCAGGTCGTCGTACTTCTCCTTTCCATGCGGCCTCATAGTATTTGTTGTGCCGTTCTGTTCCCATAGCGAGTAATGCATTGTTGAATAGGCCAACACCAAGGGCGATTTTCACCGATAGACTCGGACAAACTGAACGAAGCGCCTCGTTAATGCTCATCAAATACCGTGTCTATAAATGAAACAGATGAATTCATCAAAAGAAAACATCGAAAAAATGCAAACTGACCTTTTGACGATGACTCATGCTCTCAACATCGGGTGGTGCCAATTTCAGTAGATTCGTTGCATTCATTTGCATAGCAGCTCGATATTTTTGCTCATCAGCCGAAGGTGTATGCTTCGGCTTCGCAAACAGTGGATCGTTTTCCATTTTATTCCATGTTTTGTACTTAATTCGCAGCAAATTTTCATCTTCAAAAATTAAACGTAATTGCTTCCAATCAAATTTGGCCCGTTTACGATACTCATCAAGTGGACCGGATGGCATATTTGGTATGAAAGTTGTGTCTTTTACGCTCGCCATTATTGATTTTCTGCCAATGGAAAAATACGAAACGAATAAAAAATATTTTGTTTAATAAAAATCACAACGATGATTCAGTCGAAACAAAAACAAATGGAATTTTTTTTGTCATAAAATTCGAACAATGCTTTAACTGATAATTCACATTTGTTGTTTTGTATGAATATATCTGTATGGCAAAATGTCAAAATATAAAATTTATGTGATGAATTACAAAAAGTGATGTACGTTAAAATGAACACTTGCACATAAATTCAAATTTTTATTTGACAAAAAAAATGAAAACAATTCTTACAAAAAATGTATCGCAAACACACACCCATAACCTTAAAAATGTTATGAGGAGAAAATAGAATTCTTTTGGCTCGCCAAATATTATATTGGATATACAAATTTGCTGAACACACGCTCAATGCCATACAGATACGGACACACACTCATGCACATAGATACAAGAGAAGGAAAATCGAATGCTGTGTATTGTTTCCGTGACATTGGTGCGCAAATGAGAGCGACGATTGTGTAATGAATTTGTGAATGAGATCTGCTTCTCTTTCTATCGATTTCTGCACATATTTGTTTTGTTTGCGATGCTCACGCACATTGCTGTACAGCTGACTATACACATACAAAACAAACATGTAAAATCGCCGGTTTCATATTATGTTATCATTTGCACGAACACATACATACACGCACTCATGCCAAACAACGCACACAAACGTACGCACTGACCACGTGCAATCCACCAGCACGTAACAAGCACGTACGCTTTCGCAGAATAAACATTCGACGGTCTGTGTATATTATTTTGAGAGAAGCCCGAGAATATTCTCCACATATTTTTTTTTTTGTGTGTACACAATGTGTGTGTATCGATTTTTCGTTTCTTTTTCGAACATTATATCAATTTAGACTTTTTCGATTAACGTAATAGTTTCGATGCCGTTTTTATTTCGTTCTTATTTAATCAGATAAGTCGGTATCGAACCAAACATCACACATATTAAACACACGAATAACTGATATAACTTTCATAAGCAAACGAACCACAGAAACCGCGAATCGACATCAAATCACTTTCGAAATTATTATATGTTTGCCAATATGTTGGCAATCAGCAATGCTATCCACAATTGAAGCGATAAATTCGAACCAATTTGACTAATTAAACTCGAGACGTATTTTGATTGAATGGTTTCTTTAGTAAAATATGCCGTTTTTTTGATGAATTGTAACTTTTTCCTTTGATTTATTTGCAAAAAATTCACTTGGAATTTGATTTCTACTTGATTTTAATGTGATTTTTGTCAACATTGAATTCAATGCTTAAACCAAACGTTTATCAATTGAATCATTCTACTTATTAGCTTAAAACACGGAACTGATTCGTATCTGTATGTATTAGATAAAAATCACCGTATTTTAATTAGATGAATTAGATAAAAATCACTTGCGAAATAAATATCACAATATATACACCAAAATCACTTGCTATTTTGAATATAAAAGAATATCCGAATGAATACAAGTGTCTGTTTGATGGGTGTTTTCATTATCAAAGCTTGAGCGATGTGGCATTTTAACTAGCGGTTTATATATCCATATGCTAATAGACGATTTTATTTAATCAATCAATTAACATATAAAAATTTAGAGGGTCGACGGCGAACTCACCGATAAAAATTGCGACAACGAACTTTCCGGCTTCTATCCAAAATACGAACTAACATAAATTTATATTGCTGACATGGAGCTTCGTGCAAAGCAATCGTGATAAAATGTATATAATAATGAACAAAAGAGAATAGGACAAAAGATAGAAGGAGATAGACTTTTTTTTATACACGCTCAATGTATGATAAAATATAGTGTCGTTCGTATGACGGCATGTTTGAACTCAAGTACTTGTGCACTCGTCAATGATTCATAGGCTACATGAGCAATTGAATTTCGGCTTTCTGGTGTCACATATGGATTTCCTCTATGTGACATATATAACATGTATTGAGATATCGTGCGGTCTTTTTTCTCGGCATTGTTTTCGATACAGTGATATATATACAATATCTTCATTGTGAATGGTTCAACCACTCACTTGTCGCTTGTTTTGGAAACTATTTTTGGATTCTTTAAGGATTTTCTATTTTTATACCGATGTATCGACACAGTTTATACACCGTTTTTTCTTGTTTAGATACGGTTCTATATTTTCAATTGAATGAACTGAATACAGAAGATTGAGCACAAGAAGTATCGAACGGCTTTGCATTAACTTAACTCGCTTTTTCGAAATAAACATTTATTGTCAGAAAATTAACAATTGTTAACACTGAGAGTGTAAGAGTATTCTCAAAATGACCTCAAAAATTTCATATGACCTTTAAATGGGCCATTCAAGCTTATAATAACGGTGCATAAATGTTGAGAATTTTTCCATTAGACATTATAAAATTGACTTTAAATGCACTTATCTTGTTGAGAATTTTATTTTGTTTGTAGATCATCCTACATCTGATTTGTAGATTTTTTAAGAATATTACAATGACAAACTGGCATTGACATTTGTAAAAGAAGATAAAAAATAATTTATGCCAAATATGATATCAGATTTACAATTCAAATCATTTGATACGCCAATTTTATGATGTCATTTATCAACTGCAAAATCAGTCAATTGGATCAGAAAATTTACATGGGAACAAGAATATTAGTAATACCATTTTACTAATAACCCGGTGACATATTAAAAATTCCCGAATACTCACTCTCAAGAAATTCAAAAAATTAAACACAATTATTCTGTTTTTTTTTTTTTTGTCGAAGAAACCAGTTCTTTCGATCAACATTTTAAAGACTTTATTTACTGTGTTCAAAAACATTTACGGAAACATTACATTTCCAACGTAAAGATGTTCGCCTCATAAATTTCATCGAAACTTTCGATATAGTCATTAGGTCACCAAAAATATTGTTTTATTACTTGATTGGCTGAACAAAATTATGAAGAAACGATGATAAGAAAGTGATGATAAAACGAAAATTCATAAAAACAGTTTATCGAACGATGGGAGCAAAACCATAAATTTAAGTATATTATTTCCACTGAATCCAAAACAACAATTCAATAATTAAAATTAAGTTGTAGTAGTCAACATAATCGAAATAAATAAAAAATGTAATCATCATACTGATAAAAATCCTTTGCGTTTTTGCATGAACATTTCAAAACAATATGTTTATTCATTTCTGCTATGACTATTTGCTTTGCTTCATTATCTCCAAATAAAACAAGCAAAATAACGACATAGATTGTCTGCTGCATCCGTTTTGTTAGGAAGTGTTGTTTTTGAACATTTTAGTAAATTGTGACACAATCTTGTTTATAGTTTTGAGAAGCTTGATTAAGATTCAGAAAGTAATGCAAAAGTGATATTTTGGGATACCGTGTGGTTTTTTTCGCATTATTTTCGATACAGTCATGTATACAACATCGCCATTGTGAATGGTTCAACAACTTACTTGTCGTTTGTTTTGGAAAATATTTTTAGATTCTTTAAGGATTTTCTATTTTTATACTAACAAGTCGACACAGTTTATACATCGCTTTTTACTTTGATTTGAATTAGATACGATTAACTTTTTTCTTTGAGTGGCTTATATTTTCAATTGAATGAACTGCATACGGAAGATGGGACATAAAGTATCAAGGTTGATACTATCAACCGGCTTCGATAGAATATTAACTGTAAAAGTGCGAGAAAAGTACATAAGCCAATTGAAATATTTCATACTAAATGACATTTAATTTATTTTTAATTAAAAAATAATTTGATGATAAAATAAATAATTTCATGTATAAGAGAGATTCTCGTAGAGAGTATTCGAATTACCTTTGTCATCAAAAATATGTTCCTTGACGGAGAAAGAAAACTACGTCATTTTCTGTCAAATTGTTAAAAAGTCTTTATGTTTATTGAAAAAAGGTTCAGTTATTTTGTGCTGCTGCAGCATTTGTATCTTAAAAATTTCATGATGTTTGCTTTATATTTGGCGCTAAATATATTATTATTATTATGAACGGTTTAGATTGTGCAAAGAATTGGTACGGAATAAATATGTTTGTATTGTAAAGCAAACAAGTAATTGTTTCCTTTATGATTGCGTATAAAAATAAAAATTATCCTTTGTTGGAAAAAAATTGAACAATTTGTGTTTGTGTCCGTTTATTTCTTCATTTGTTTTTTTTTTTTTAATCTCAATCAATCGTGATTTAAGAGATTCGTTGTGCATTTTAACGCGCCCATCTCTTTTCTTTATATTTACAATAAAATAGTAATTGGCACGCTGCTTTTACGTAGGTTGCTCCATAATTTTTTTTAAAATGGTACTTATAGTGTTGCCCGATGTAAACCATTGTCATATTCGTAAAGTTTGATGTTTTGGTATGTATTCGTGCCCTGAACCTTTTGTCGTACGAACGCTATTTGTATTGTTTACAGTGACTGGTAAACTGCGACTCAACAAAAAAATGAATTTTACACGTGAAGATTTTCGTAAAATGATTTACTACGATTTTCGAAGTAAATTATCTCAACAACAGTGTTTCGATCGACTTCATTTGGCCTTTGGCAATGAAGCACCAACCCTTCAGACAATTTATAACTGGTACCGAGAATTCCGTTGCGGTCGTAGTTCGCTCAAAGACGAGTTTCATACAGGTCGTCCAAAATCGGCTGTTGTGCCACAAAACATCGATGCTGTCAGAAAACTGATTATGGAAGATCGTCATGTGACCTACCGTGAGATTGAGGCATCTTTGGGCATTTCATCCCACAGCATACATACAATTTTGCATGAACATTTAGCCGTAAAAAAGATTTGCTCTCGTTGGATCCCACATAAATTGACCGATGAACAAAAAATGGCTCGTGTGAGTTGGTGTGAAGAAATGCTCAAGAAATTCAATCGTGGTGCTTCAAAAGACGTTAATAAAATCGTCACTGGTGACGAATCGTGGATATATGCCTATGAGCCCGAAACGAAACAGCAGTCGACTGTATGGGTCTTCCAAAATGAAGATAACCCAACGAAAGTTGTTCGAGCAAGAAGCACTTCGAAGCGAATGGTCGCCTGTTTTTTCGGGAGAAGTGGTCATATGGCAACCGTTCCACTAGAGGATCGTAAGACCGTCAATTCTGATTGGTATACCACCATTTGTTTGCCCGAAGTGTTTGGTGAAATAAGAAAAAACAACCACCGTCGCAAAATAATTCTTCATCACGATAATGCGAGCTCTCACACATCTTTTCAAACTACTCGATTTTTGACCGGTCAAAACATCGAACTGATGGGTCATCCACCGTACAGTCCTGACCTGGCACCCAATGACTTTTTTTTGTTCCCAAGCGTGAAGAAAAAACTACGTGGTCAACGATTTTCGACACCAGAAGAAGCAGTTGAAGCGTTCAAAACACACGTTTTGGAGATATCAGTTTCGGAGTGGCACGAATGCTATGACAAATGGTTTCATCGAATGCAAAAGTGTATCGATCATCTCGGGGAATATTTTGAAAAACAATAAAACCATTTTCGACAAAAAACAACTGTGTTATATATGTTTTTAAAAAAAATTATGGAGCAACCCTCGTATGTGCAATAAAACGGAAACAATGTCAATAGAGCGCCGCCTATAAGCTTATTGCAGTTAGTCGAATATATTAAGTGAAATAAAAAAAAAAGTCTGACAAATTATTTATAAAAAGATTCTCTCATTTCTCGTTATTTACAAAAAAAAAAAGAAATTAGTTTACACATGTCAAATATATAAAATGTTTTCATTGGATAAAGTTACCAAATTATTTCGAGAGAGAAAAAAAAGCGATGATTACTACAATTAGAGAAATTATATTTAGATAAACGATGCAATGCAAGCACAAATGATCTTGCGTGTAATTCGCAAAATTAAATCTATAAAATAACGTTAAATAGAATCGGTTGAATATCGTCTCTCAATGCGAATAGTCCTTGATTCCAGCAATTTGCTTTATTTACATTCAACAAGCAAATGTATGGCAAATCAGTTTTCTTGCAAACGAACTTTTTTTTCTTTACTCTACTTTTCGTTCAAATAAAATAGTTCACCTTAACGATATACATTTTCAAATTTTCATATTTTCTCACAGAAATGCGCGTTTCGTTTTATTAATTACATTAATAAAATCATCTCTTTTTCATTTGAATTGACTGAATTTCGTTAGTGTTTTTCCTCTATCCGCGTACGTGTGTGTGTGTCGTCTTAGTGGTATTGTGTGCACGTCGTTTTTATCCGAAAAGTTTGTCGAAGCACTCATGACCTGCAATTCAAAATTAAACGTTCAATTTCAATTTGAAAATAAAACGAAATGTGATCCTTACAGTATGGTTTGTCATTTTGTTCCTTGAATGTGCCTTTATTGAGCTGTTTCAAACAGAATGCACAGACAAAATGCTCTGGATGGAACTTTCGGAACATGGCTGTGATGCATCGGCCTGTTATGGGTTTGGAGCAACCAGCACAAAGTGATCCTCGTTTTGCGTGATAGTGTGTCTCGCAATAAGGAAGACCTTCATGATCAAAGAACGATCCATTTTGAAACGGTTGCCGACAGTCCTGTAATTATAAAAGAAAAGAGAAAAACAATTACTAAAGAAAAAGTTGCAAAACATTTTGGGAACAGGATATTGTAAGTAAATCATTTTAAACGAATGGCAAGCCAATGGTGGTATCTGGAGTTGATTTGTGTGTTTACTTAAATCGCGTCAAACATATGTTAAACATTTCCTCTCTGTCCTCACCAGAGCCCCAAAGTGAATGTCAATTTTATTTACTTAATTTCAATAGGAAAAGTGAAATAAAAACGAATATTCCACCAGCGATCGTGAAAATAGAAATTTAAAAAAAATGTTATTTTTAGATTTTTGTTTTTCATTTGCCTTGGGCAACAAAACTGTTTCAAACGGCTCAGCGCACGATAATCATTTGCCAATGAAAATATACGTGTACGCCAACATTTTATTGCCTCTTGTTACAAATCGAAGATATGGTGTCACAGTGCCAGCGAAACATTTCACTCATTCGTTAAACGTCGCAATAATTTTAATACCGTTATTAAAATATTGTCGACACTGCCAATTGTCATAAATGATCACGTTTTCTCTTTATAATTTTGCACACATTTCATTTTCCGCATTTAAATCAATATTTTCTATTCAAATATTGTTGAACTTCAAATGAAAATTGATGTTGTACAGTTTGTTTAACGAATGTTTGGAATTTGTTTTTACTGAAAAGCATTGCAAAAATGCTGAACACATTTTCGTCATCAATTTTAATCGATATAATAACATCAAAACAGCATTCAATCGATAGTTTTATTGGCTCTTAGTTGCTGTTTATCTGAATCAACCGGAATTTGTTTGTAAATTTTCTTTCACTATTCAAAACATCAATTGGCTATTGAATGGCTACACATTTGATGATGAAACAACTCATTCATTCACGCATACACATACATTGAAGATGGAAAACGACGAAATTGTATTTGCCAATGAGCAACAAAGTTCGGAATTCATTTTCTAGAAATTAAAACAAAACCAAATAAATTAAACACGGGAGCTATTGATAACGATAGACTCATCGAATTATTTTTATCAAAATAGTATTTATAAATGAAAAAATGTGCGAATTGGCGCTTTTTTAAATCGGCGGAAGAGGAATTAATTCACGTGTAATAAGTTAGTGGAACCTTGAAGGTTCCATTGGCTGGCACGTGGGCTTTTCCGTAAAACGTGACGTCATTTGCAACCAGAATTGTGTAATAAATCGACAACAAGAGTGCGACGAACGATTACGGAACGTGACATGAGCATATCACGCACCCACGCACTGGCCAACAACAAACAAACAGATAACGAACGAGGCGTCTTGGCAGCAAACGTCCAATGGCCATCGCACGGCGGCAATGACGATAGACGGGGCACGAAATCGACGTCTCATTCGATTTCTGTTTCTATTTTATTGGATTTTTTGGTTTTGTTTTTTTTTTTTGTTATTTGTGTTTTTTTATTTTTTTTTATTTTTTTATACTTTATTTTTCCATTGCAAATACAATTCATGTGTAAATTATAATAAATAGCTCAAATCGACTTATATCTAAAATCGGATAATGTTACTTTTCAGCTAAATAGAAAAGTTAGAACATTATTCGATTTTTTTATGTTGGTTAAAAGGGGGTCGTTTCAAAGACAAAAAAAAAGAAGATAGAAAAATCAGTGATGTTGGGTAAATGAGTGCTAGAAGAAAAGAAAGGGGCAAGGGCATAAACATTTGCAGCATAATTGTGTGCATTGCATGGACACACACACATCTGTTTTCGGGTGATAGTCTTTCGCTTTCAATGCATTATCGATGTAATTTGTGCATTTTATGAATAATTTCTTTTCTCTTTTGAACTCGTTCGAAGTGATTTGTGTATGTGTATAAATGTATGTATTTATTCTTCGGCTTCAACTCCAACGCACGGGGGACAAACTGGCTTGCCTTCCATAGCATAAAATGATTTACCTCTGACTGGTTTTTTACAATCCTGAATGTATCAAAAAGGTTGAAAAGTTAACAAACAAAATTCATCAAAATTTCAATCCACACACAAGCTGCCATTTTCGAACTGTTTCCAAGCGATTTCACGAGTGATATATGCCAATGATTATACAGAAAATAGTATAGAATAAAATGTTTACTTACCCGGCAAACGAAGCATTCAGCATGCCATTGAGCGTTCAATGCTGAAATGTAGTTTTCCATGATGGCACGGTTGCATCCACTACATTTTGGTGCAAACATTTCGAAGTAGTCGTTGCGGCAATATGGTTTACCTATGAAACAATAATGATATCAATAACACGTCTTTTCAATAAATCATCGTTCGCAAGAAAAAGTTGAAAATCGACATCGAATGCCAACGTTCACTTGAGAACTTTTACGAATCAGTCAAAGTTTTCTTTATTTCAAAGGGCTTTACCATCGCGTTCATGGAAACCTTCTTCGCCAAATTGTTGGCCGCATTGAGCGCAGAAGAAGTGTTCTGTATGCCAGGTCTTGTCTAATGCGGTAACGCATTTATCCAAAATGGCACCATTGCAGTAAGCACAACGTGGCGAGAACAAATTGTGATAGTCTGGTTCACAATACGGTTGTCCGTCTCTTTCAAAGAAATTGCGTGTGCCCAATTCTTGGCAGCAGTGGCTGCATGTGAAATGTTCCGGATGCCAGGTACGACCCAAAGCAGTGATCACTTGACCAACGATTGGTTTGTCGCAAGCGCTGCAACATCCTTTTTGTGTTGTGGTAACTCCTTGACGATTCATGTTTTCTTGTAGGCTTCCTGCAAATGAACGAACAAAAGAAAAATCCCAAAATAATGGTTGAATCTTAATGCACAGTGATGGTAATGATGGTTGGCCACAAACCTAGCATAGAATCTAATTGATCGTGATGAATAGTTGTTTCCTGATGCGAATACGAAATACCTTTATTTGGTTTTGCGTACTCAGTAACCGTCTGTTGCTGATGAGTGCTGGAGTTAATCTGAAATGTGAAAATGTCGGTGGCGACCGAAAATAGATACGAAAAAGTTATTATTAATAGCGTGAAGTAATACACTCTCTTTTAGTTGACTCTTTCGCTTTCTATTTCTTTCTCTCTCTCTATCTTTCTATCTTCCTTTCTATCTTTATATATTAGCCGACGTCCAACCAAAAATATTAAAATATTTTGAAGTGCAGTTTTTGTATTCTTCTTTTATTTATGTTTCTCTCTATCGGGCGCGCGCTATCTTTTTTTTAAAAATAAACTGAATGCGCGGACGGACTGGTGTTTGTGTGCGCTCGCAACGCCTTTATAACCCGAATCGAATGTGAATTTTGCAAACAATCACGCTGCCTTGTTTTCGTTCTCCTGGTGATGATGTGATTTCATTTTTGTTTATTTGTTTGTGTTTTCCGAGTTGTGAATTTATTTTTGAATTTCTATCTTCGACCTTACATAATTCGATAATGATAATATCTGCGTCTCGCGAGCTGTTGACAAATTACTCGCCTATGAATTCGATTTTTTTGCCTCTACTCTGCGAGCAAGAGAATTTTGTGTGTATGAAAAGTGATGAGCACTGGGTAATTATGCTTGTATTTAAACTTGTTGAAAAGTCAAACTGAATTAAATGTTGAAAATTTGTGCGAGAAAAACCGTGAAATTGAAATTGATTGAAATATTGAGAGTGACGCCTTCTCAAAGTCCTTCAAATGTCTCACATGATTCAATCACGAATAAATTGACTCCAGTTGAAATTTACTTGAAATATGAAGAATTCGGCCAAAGACGCGTAATTGAAAAAATCGCAAAAAACTCTTAAATTTGTTGAATCACGTAGAAAAAAAAACTTTAAAGACAAAAACTGCGAGGGAGTAAATTCCAGTCGCCGTAAAATTTGTAGGAAACGAAGAGATTGAGAAAATGTGAAGAAGATGAAAAAATGATATTAATTGAAAATGAGATGCTAACCGTTTGATCACTGTTGTTTGACTGAAAGAAGGAGTCGTTGCGGTTTGTTCAAAATGGTGAAATGCTACTTATAAATTTCATGAAAGCGATTCTTTTTTGTTCCCTATAGACACGATAGAATGTTCTCACTCTCGCTTGACTCCAAATCTGATGACGAAAATTTCGTCTCTCTTTCTCGCTCATTTTCGAAGTGAAAATTTTGCTTGATCTTGAGAAATTCAATAAAAATCGTTTTCTTTTAATATATACACACAAATATTCGGAAGATTTGCGTTGAAAGTGGGGATAGAAGTACGCAAACGCAACATTTCTAATGTTCGGTGATTTTTCATCTTCATTTCGAATTTGGTTTGCATTGTTTTTGTATTAGATGACGTATGTCTACCGATTTAGCCAATTGTAAACATAATTTGTGAATGTTATGCTTGTGTGAAGTCCGAATGTGTGTAAAGTTAAAAATCAAGTGAGCGCGCCCGCGTAAACATACATACACAGAGACACATACCCGTTCAATGTATGATGCGCGAATCCAAGAAAGGATTCGACGCCAACCAATTTTCTATATGCTTCATAAATTTTTCTATATTTATATCTTATGAACGCGCACTTATCGACTGTTCTCTCTCTCTCTCTCTCTCTTTCTCTCTCTTTCTCTCTCGTCCAACGATGTGTTCTTGAATGATTCGTTTGGTTATTTTCTCAGTCGACAATAGACGACGCGCTCGATTAAACTGGGCAAAAAAAAAATGATGAAAACTAAGCGAATGATTCAACAACGCATGCACACCCAGTGCCGATTATTTCAATATTCACAACAATATGTATTTTTAGGCATACACAAATCACCACACTTATTTTCCAATCGTATTCAAAACAATTCAATTTTGGATCACAAAACAACAATACGACTTGTTTTCATTCATATCGATGTGGGAAAAACAATTCCTTTTGTTCGCCGTTGAGAAAGTAAAAATACATGTTTTTGGTTCAAGGGGAGGGTTCAAACAGCAAGTGTCGAAGCCGAAAACAAATATTATGTGCATTGAAAGATCGTGTTTGCATTAGCGAAAACATTAAAATCGCAACACAAAAAGAGAGCAAAACATTGTAATTCATTTGCGATTCAGTGAAATATAGACGCGAGACGGACCAACAGACAGATAAACTGAGAAAATCGTTAATCTATTTGTGCTTGATCCAATTCTGAGATTGTCATAAGACGCGCGATTTAGTCGACCGATCGTTGGATAATAAATTGAATTATTTAATGGGTCATTTTCAAATTCACTTTGTGAAATGGGCACAAACACCAACTTTCCAAACAGCATTCGCAGCGAGCTACAGATATTTTTCTGAATATTAAATCTATAATTTAATGTGGCAAACATTTTGGCAACGCAACCGAATGCTGACAATTACATTTATTTGAAAGATGAAAAAAAAAATCAAGCTGTCAAAACAACTAGATTAACATGTTAGTACATTAATTTGTTACGTTATTTGCTCAATATCCATTTGCCAATGCGGTAGCAAACACTCGGAGAGCCCATTATCATTGAGAACCACGAAAACATATTTTAAGCACCATAAAAATTGTTTTTATTTTTATGTCGAAAGTTCTTTAGTTGTTACAAATTTTGACACGCTTGTAACCATATCAAAAAAAAAGTTGGCCAATAATCGCATAAGTCACAAAATGTTCAGATTTTCAATATTAGTGTGCAAGTTAGTTTGTATCAGCTCAGCAAGGTTACACTGGCCAAGCAATGAAATCACTTTCAATCACTAAGACGCAGTACCTCAAACCGATTTTCAAATACCTGTTCAACTAGCAAATCATCATACTTTAGTTGTGTTTCTTATGCGACTACAAAACAAATATGGTAGATTTTAATTGGACATACCTTGAAGTCAGACAACGATGCCATCAATTCGTCGAGATCCTTCGTAGCACTCGACGCATACGGAACGGGTGTTGTATTTGAACTTTGTATGACCTTTTGAATAACTTCTTGATCACCACCTGTGGAAGCAACATTCAAATTTATTTAAAACACGAAAATTAACTAAGCAGATCAAAGTCTCTACTTGTATGAAAATTAACTCAGGTTCTCTCAATATCAAATAAAATTGTGAATTAAACGTTATACTAACCAGGGTAATGTTGATTCACTGGGGTCATTCGTTCCGTTTTCGTTTCACGTACTGTGATCGTAACATGTTTTCCTCCTGGTGATTTGCTCGAACCAACCAATCTAAGAGTCAATCAAAAGATAATTAATTATATCGATAAATTTTGTTTCGAAACCGCCCAATCAATATTTTATAAATGGACCACATGCAATTGGGCAATTAATTTCAAATTAATGATTTACATTCTGAAGAAAGTGAAAATAATCGACATACCGATTTGGCACGGCATAAACAGGTCCGCTGGCCTGTGCATTATTCAATTCTTCCAATAAATCATCAACCGATGGCCGTTTAATCGAATCATTCAATTCGTTTTGTGATCCAAGACTAGATTTTACGCTTTTGTTCAGATTTGAACTGTACCGAGCTTGACTCAGGTCTTGCAGAAGTGTGTCCAATTCCGATAAATTGCCAGCAGTTCCATTTTGATTATTATAATGTGTGTTTGTTTGTGAGTATTGCGAACCAGGTGTTGCTTTCTGATCCGATACTATCACCTTTCGAACTTCTTGATAAGGCTGTGGAGCGATGAAACGATAAACCGTTTTAATAAAAGTGTAAAATGTGTGAGGTAAGCGGAAACTTACCGCTTGTGGAGGCTGCCTTGAACGCAATGATCCATAACCGGAGCTGGCGGATCCATTTTGTCCCGTGTACGCTGGGTTCAATGGATTTTGTTTGCTTCCTGGCACGCTATTTTGAAGATCGGCTAGAAGAGCGTCTGAAAACAAAAAAAAAAAATAAAGTTCAATTTTAAGTTTTTCCTTGCTAAAAATTCGCATTCAATGAATGATTCACTAAGTGGCCAGCCAGTCACAATATCGTTCTTTTTTTAAAGAAGATTGATTTAAGTCAATAACAAGGTGATATTCTTATGTTTGTGACAGTGGTTTCCATTTCGTGCGGTTTTTGTTTGAACTTTTTGTTTCGCTTCAATTTGAAAATAAACCATCAATTTTGCCTTCAGTAATAAATTCATAGAGATTTTGTTCGTACGAAAATCGTATATTCATCTATTTATTTCGATTTGCAAACTTACTCAAATAATTTTCATAGTCTCCCACTTTAAATGGTCCCGAAAAGTTGGCGTTGAGAGATTTGCTCATGATGTTCGTTTAGATTTTTTTCTTTCTCTTTTAAAATTAGTATTTTTCGATTTTATTTTTGGCAAAATGTTCGTTGTATCTGCTTATGAGAGAATGAATACGATACACGCAATTAGACACACCGAGAATGAAAGAGAGAACATTTTCTATCACCTTAATTCACACACACACACACGTTCATTTCCATTTGAATGTCAAAAAAAATCATCATACACAGTTGTATAGCAAAAATATTATCGCGCACGAGGGCATATACGTACACATCTATTCACTGATACCAAACTTTTTCATACACGCTCTCTCCTTTTCTCACCCGCTCGACTTTTTTCTATCTCTTTCGCTTGATGTTTCTTTCTATTTCTATTGCTGTGACAAACGTCACATTCAATGATATTTCAATCTAAATAATAAGTTCAGGACTTAGATTAAAATACTTTTGAACACAAGGTAAGTGATAACAGCGATACTTTATTGTTTTGCATAGCAATTGAATGTTTACACTAATTAAATCTGCGGCCCATTGCAAAATCTATGATGTAAACTAAAGACTAAAACTAATCAAGCATTACGGAGTGGGAAAAAAAAGATGTTGCCTACAGGCGGAAAGATTTTGCTTACAAATGGGATAAAAATAGATAAAGAGAGACATGTGATGTGATGAGGTCGATGGAGTGAACATTGAAAAATTGAAACATTTGTAAAGCAAACAAAAAAAATCGCTCCGGAAATTATGCGAACATTGTGAAAATGACATTTTCAAATAAATTCGATCTAATTATTGTTTGGATTTTATTGCATGTCGTCTATTGTCAATTCACAAACCATCCAGGCGAAACTGTCACACCTCGTTCATACATACTCAAACCGGCACTCACACTCGATAAATTCATTGTTGATTTATGATGATCACATGCGGAAATTCGCGACTTGTTGAAATTAACAGTAAAATCACACCAAACAAAAGCGCTCATTCTTAAGCTTATTTAATTCCACCGTTCACGCTCTTATATTATCAAGTTTCTCTTTCTCCCCCCCTCTCTCTCTCTCGCTCACTCCCCCCTGAATTGATTCTCAACCACTCAAAATCACACATTTGCATACTAGAATCGGTTTTCGATGGTTTTTCTCCGTTGAAATTGGCAGTAAATAATGCACAGTCACAGTAAGTGCGAAGTAATTCGTTGAAAAAAACTGCGTTGTGCAGCGTTACAGTACCGAAAAAAAACTGATTTGTAGTAAACAGTTTTTGGTGAAGGAAACTAGATCAAACATCACATTTATGAGATTCTATGCGCGCCATACGAAAATATAACGGTGATGTGTGCCAATATCAACAAGCGAGAGAGCAAACATTTGAAATAGAAAACAAAAAAAAAGCGCAACGCCGTGTAGGTACAAATGTGCGTGTTTTATTTATGAGGCAAATTTTAATTTTTTTCCGTCACTTTAATAAATCTCAAGTTCTTGTGCGTAAAACTTTCGATGGGAATGTGCTACACATGTCAAAAAAACAAATAATGAAAATATAAACTGTCGCGTCTTCACGCAAATTACAACACCTTAAAAACAACGTTTGTGTTTGTCTTGTCGTCAATCTTCAGAAACATTTTATGAATCGTTAATCGTCTCACGGCATTTTATTTTATGACTCGATTTGTATTGTTGGATCAAATTTTCGTCAATTAATTGTCAAGAAGACGAATAGAACAGCACCGAATGACGTTAATTAGTAGCATTTCATTGCAACATCAAACAAAAATGAAAGCAAATACATCTCGATTCTCGATTCATTGACACACATTTCTTGGCCGCTTAGAACGTTTCAAATAGGTATCTGATGTATGTGTATGTGATATTTTGAATAATAATTCATCGATCACTCTACCGAAATGAAATTAAAAAAGTTGCACAACATTCGTTATGACGCAATTTTCTGTAAATAGTCGCGAATAGTTGTTCTTTGATTGTAATTGTAAAATGTTGTTAACAGCCATCTTTAATGAAAATTGATGTTTTTCGGTACAAAAAATGATCGGCAGCCGTCAAAACAGATAGTGGTAATGAAAATCAAGTATTATAGCGATGAGTCTCGCCCGAATAATAAACACTTCATGACATTTTGTTTGTGCGCTTAAAATTTGCTTTGAATCATTTCGGATATGCCAAAAATTCAGTTGCTCGATTTCAGAAAAAAATTGCCTAACTTTGGGCGTTTTTCGTTGACTGTTATACAAAGAAAATAGAACCTATAAATTCGTCTATTGAATGGCATTGAACGTGAAAATAAAAGTCAATTGGCACTTGTTGTAAATGAATGTTTAATTGAAATGTATGTTAAATATTCATTGAATAAGTGTACCATCGGTGTCGTGCAAAGGCGACATGTCTTGTGTGCCCAATGCCCATTCAAAGAGTGAGGCTTTTTTGAAATATATTTGAATTGAATCGAAATCCATTCAGAAATCAAATGGTTACTACCCACGCAATTATGTAACCTTTTTATCGAATATGTTGAATAAATTAATTTGAAAAAAAAAAAAATGATTTGGCAAACTATAAGCAAATCTGACAAATCGGTATAAATTGCAAATTATAGATGTTCACTCTTCATATTTAAATGGCCAAACAATGATGATGGATCTTATAATTGCTGTTTTTCGTTTTAAAAAAGACTCAATAAACATGACATCATCCGATTCAGCATTGATACATGGTGTAGTGTAAAAATGTCATCAACCGAAACATAAGAGAATTTAATTTATCGAATAAGTCATGAACGTGAGCCAGAGTAAATGAAGTATGTGAGATCAATGGATCTAGTTTATATATGCGTCAAGGTGACGTTTTCTAAAATGAGCTACGACAACGTAATGCACTTTTTCAATGACTTCGTTTCATACGACTTTATTATTACTTCATGTTTTCAAAAGTTTGCGTTTTTTCCTATTCTCTTTCTCCCCCCTCTCTCACACTCTGTCTCTCTCCCTCTTTCTCTCTCTCTCTCTCTCTCTCTGCGAAGAAGGAAGTTTCGCCACTTTCAAATAAAAAACATGAAAAATGCGCAAATGTACGTAATCAAAAGTCAATATTTTGGTATTTGGAACGATAACCGACACAAAACAAGGAAACAATTACAATTGTTTTTGCATGTGGCGCTTCATGCACACACACACCCAGCTACACATTAAACAAATTATGTTTTTATGACCATTTTCCCCTTTACGTCTGCAAATAACATTGTTTTCTGTTTTTTTTTTCTTGTTTTTTTCGTGCTTCAATCATCGTATTCAGTGTAAATTGGACTTAATGAATTTGAATCAGTTGCAAATATGGCAATCACACATTTTGCGTAGTAAGTTCTCTGATTGCTTTGTGATGTTGATTCAAAATTGATTGGTTCTGGTAACAGAATACATTGTGTTGCACACAATTTTTGGTTAACTTGATGAAGCTATCATCAAATCATATGACCAAATATGGTAACCTGTTTGTTGTTTTTTCAAATCAAATATCATCCATAGAGATCGTGAATTTAAAATCACTGAATTTTTCGCACACAAACAAGCGTACATGTTATTTTATTTTATCAAAAAGGTGATATGTTGACTGCTCATCGAAGCGCTAGAAATTCCATTCGCTAAAATGCACGCGACAAGTTTTGAGTGGGATTCCTTTGAAATGACGTATCATTGAACTTTCTCGGTTCATGTGTATTCTGAATGGAATGCGTGAAAAGAAAATAAAAATTGAACTCAATATCCCCGAAGAGAATGTGCGGTTTTCATGCGGTCTACCATAATAAAAAAAAAAATGTTATGTCGATTTATGATTTTTCCAATGCCAACAAATATTATGCTTACAAATAGGTTGGTGATTGATCAATTGAATGCCAGATGTGGGGGTTTTGTTCTAATTTTTATTTAACGATAGTGCGTAATAAATATTTTCTACATATATTTCACAATAAAATCGACTTCTTCAAGTCAAAGAATGAAAATATTTCTCAAATGGATTTTCAAATTACCTGACATTGTGCTTGTCCAAATGGATATTATTTACGCTGAACAAACACTACAGATTTTTTTTATTCGTGCAAATAGTAAATTTATGGTGGTTTTTGTTGTTGCAAATAATAGTAAATAGGCAACAGTCAAAGCATAAAACAACAAATGAAAACAGCAAATTGAATATTTTTAAAAAGCTATAAAATACACTGCTATTGATATAATATTGGTGTTGGTGCACTTGAACGTCTTGAAATAATCTAGTGAGGAGTCATTTACAATGAACGAGAAACGAAAATAGCAAAATCACGTCTCAATTGCGAACAAGAGCAATTCGGTCCGAATTCACTTCATAATTGTGTTCTCGTTTACGTTGTGCTGTTTGTTTTTATTTTATTTTCTAGTTCGTCTTACTTTCGACGATAAATCACTTTATGACACACAAAATACACGTATTAATTGGTGCTTTTTTCTTCGATATGGATTTGCAAATGGTTCTATTATGCTCCTTAAATGGGCGATCGTTTGGCCACACTAAATGACACTGGATTCGTTGGTTTTCAAAAAAAATGAAACCAGATTGTTTTCGTTTTGGTTGGAAGGTCGCTGAATTCACGAAAAATATTTTAATTGTTAGTGCAGATGTTCAGGCTTTGCCAACGAACAGAAACAACAACTGAACTGAGAGAGGCGATAATTCAGTTGACATAAAATGCACTTACAATGTGGAGGAAAGACTTGTCGATACTAAAGAAAAAATGCGACTTCTCATCGTTTTCGACTTGAGAAAAAAAAAACTGGAAGCGAATGAGAAAATGAGCGCATATCAATGTAAACGACACACCAACACCATTGCATCGATTGAATGGAGAACATTGGCGCGACTTGCGAATGTATTGCCATTGTATACCGCCATATATCGCAATGGTCATACCCATGCATTAAATACTTCGACATACCAAACGATCTCAATACATACGTGCTCACACTAACACGCCAAAAGCACACACTCTATATTTATGCTCTGTGTGCACCATTTTAGTGACACACTATCTCAACCACGCTATTCGTTTGGAACCTATGGAACGCATGTGTGAATCAAAAAATCGTAGGCGCAATACAATTAAACTCCGAATACATTCCATAAAACCTCTGTATATGATTACATTCTGTTTTGAGTTGAAAACAACATTTTGGCTCAATTCGCGGCATGCCATTGACTAATGTGATCGTCTGGCTATACATATCTGTGTATGTATGTATCTGTTGTGCTATGTGAACGTACGCAGTACTATTTATCGCCCGTTTCAGATTAAAAAAACATACATTTAACGCTTTGTGTGGATTAAGTTTGGATCGTAGGTCCAGACACCAAACGAACGTGTGATTCACAGATGAAGAAAAGCAAATATGTTGTATGACGTCAATGCTAACATATTTTGGATCGGTTATTTGATTTCAATTTGCGGTATTCATCACATTTAATCAATTTCCGAAAAGAATTGAATTGTGCGGTTGGCATTTTGACAGAGCAAGTGGTCGGATTTGATTTGATTCGATTCATGATTTGAATTGTTTGAGCTTGAGGTTTTCATGTTTTTTTTTTAATTTGATAAGTATGAAATTGTCAATGTGATTGAATGAGTATTTTTAAATGGAGTTAGTTGAAGATTTGTTTACTCTTGATGTTATGAAAGAAATAGAAGAATGAAACTTACATCCAGGTGAAATACCCTTCTCTCGAATGCAGCGATACGGATTCCGTGCACCGGGATCCACTTTACCGTACATAGTACGATCCATTTTTTAAATAAGAGTTTTGACTTAGAGTCGATGACACTATCAGTATTTTTATCGATTTTTGCAAAACTGTTTTTCTATCTTCAAATTAAACACTATGAAAAATTTCGTTTTGATAAGTAAACAAGACACATTAAATTCACAAGAAGAAAGAGAGCGTTTTGTGCGAGTTTTAACGATTCAACTTTTGTTCGAATAAATATCCTAGATAATCCAAAAAAAACATATGAACCAACGCTGTAGTTTTATTTTTTTTTCAATTTTTTATTTTATCATGTATAAATTGGATATCATATACGTATTTCTTAAAATTACAACAATATTTTTCTTCAATTTTTTCTTGCTTTCGGCTTGTTGTCAGCCATAAAAAATAGTTTTATTTTTTGTTTTTTGTATTAATTAACAAAATCGATCGATCGAGATTGTATGAAAAAAGTTGTACTGATAATTTTGTAGTTTTTTCGTGAGCCAACCGCTCGAAAATAAAAAAAGTAAATATATAAAATGAAATAACTTTAAAACAAAAACATGACAATTATTATCTAGGCGCAAATCCTTTTTTCGGGCATGATAGAGTTTTGAAAAAAAAATATCAATAATTTTCGTCGATATTAGCGTCCAAGATGAATTTTATGCATATATTTTTTTCTAAAAAAAAAAATTTGTAACCTATTGTGACTAAATTGAGATGAAATAAAAAAACCCGCAAATTGAAAGACGGCATTTAAATAGCATTTTCGGCAGTAATTGCATGCTCAACTTGCTTAAATACTATTATTTTTTTTCGTTGCATTTTTCAATTTTTCGAAGCTCCTTCAAGCATGCTTCGTATTGCGATACGTGATTTTTTCCATCTCTGAATAGTTTTAAGGCCACTTTGGCCTGAGCATCTCGCAATAGTTCAGCAACTAATTCCGTTGGCACGGTAATTGTGAGCTGTGTCATTGACACCGACTTTGTGTCATTGGATGTTCCATCGTTGTTGTCCGATTCGGACTCGGGTTCTGTTTTAACCATTCTAGCTGGTTCGGAATATTTGGGACGTTTTCCCCGTGGACATGCTTTTTCCAGATTGCGTTTTCCTTTCGGCGCCTCTTTCTCGCGTTCCGCATCACGTTTTGGGCAACTACAAACTTTAAACTCGATCGTTCCTTTTCCAAGGAGATGATAGAATTCATTTTCAAGTGTAAAGACCAATGTTGTTGGTCGTCGATTTATGCCCGATGTACAGGAATTCTGACAACCGAATTCCATGCAAATCAACTGTGTAATGTTGCCATCGGCATCAAATTCATCACTATCAAGTGGTATAATCACTGACAAACGCTCGCCAAACGTTTCACCAGTCTTCTTTCCTCTATACATTGCAGCCGGATTGTTGATTTTTATGATGCTCGCGAATCGAGCATCCTTATCTACGATGGCATTGTTTTGCTGAATTTCTTCATTCGATTGGCGATATTGATGATTCGCACATCGATTTACCGGCAAATGCATATTTTCGGTCGACGAATATAGAATCATTACTCGCAGGAACAATCTTTCGTCTTTAACCTGTTCACGATATGTTACGCAGAATGTCATCTTGGAATCCATTTTGATGAACAATTTTTGTTGCGAGAAGACGACATTGTTCGCTTGGTCTGGTGGCACGCCCACCGTGAAATCGTAATTTGTATTTATTTCTGTTAAATTCGGATGTTTGGCGAAGTGTGGTGGATTTGCATTTCCGGCTATTGCTGACATAAATGGCATTTGGGCCAATTGTTGTTCGAGTAACTGATCGTTTACTGGTTGATGTGCTTGAAACAGCTGTTGTTGTGGGTGGTGCTGCTGTTGTTGAATTTGCATCTGCAAATTCATTTGCTGTTGCATTTGATGCTGAGCATGATACGGTTGTTCCGGTGGGAACTCGCCTTTAACGAGTCCTTCCATAATATCGTAATTCAATCCTGTTACTAGGAGATCTTTATATTCTTCCGAGTCTAATGGCGGTGAAAAATTGTCTGAAAATTTATGAATATTTGCTTTGATAAAAAAAAATTGTTCCACTGAGTGTATGTGTGTGTGTTGTGTTTGAAATTACTTTGAACTGAAATTTGTTAATTTGAGCTAGAGAATGTAAAATTAATGATAGCACTACAACAGTAACAGTTAGAAGAATAGCTTGTTTCTTATTTAGATCCAATGTTTAAATAAAATACCGTTTTCTGATACACTGAACTTGTTTATGCTTCCATTTCATGTCGATAAAAAAAACGTCACTGTTTTTTGTCATTTCACAGGATTTCGTTCATTGAACTTGTTTCAGCCACATCAATCGTCAACATTTATCACAACTCATTCGTTTCCACAAAAATATTCAAGATATTCTTTATCAATTCATTGAATCCTCCTCTTTTCACATTCGTCGACGTAAATACTCCGAAGTTCCTTAGTTCATTTGCTCGCCGGTTACTGAACCATTTTGATCTGTTAACGTATTCCATCTGTAAGCGTATACAATTGAACAAATTTAACGGAATATTCATTTAACCATGAATGCTTTGGTATGAAAATCAATATCCAAAATGGTATGCAACGTTGTCCTTTGATCATCGCCTCTCTTTTTTTCCGTATAAATATTGTACATCGATGGTCAAATTAGATTATATATGAGTCATGCACACGCATCGCGATGTGTATTTGACAAGAAAGAAAAGCGACACCAACCAAACATAAAATTGATTTAAGGTTCTATTTTTAATTGTGTTTTGGCACTTGCACCATCAAATGGCACAACAAAACCCATAAAAATAGCAACGAAACCCCGCTCGCACGACACGGAAGAAAAAAAACAATACACAGCAGAGAGAGTAACACTGGACTGCAATTTCGCATCGCATCTAATTAACTGAATGGGTCGTGACGTAAAGTGATCATAACATAAAAGACTTCTCTCACTCGCCCATCCGTCCACACGCTTTATAATCGCACTTAATTTGAATGGAGCAATTTAGTTTTACAACAAATTGGATCCCATTAACATTGCTTATTATCACATCGACCAATCAAGAATTTAGAACGCACTTAAGTTTCTGATTAGTGTTTTTATTGTTGCAGCACGGTTTCGATATAATATGTATGTATGCAAATGATGATCGGTATATGCACAAGCTAGAGCACATCTGAATATGGTGACGAAACTCCATGGCTAAACAAAGCGCACAAAAGAAAACAGATTGCTTACAAACACACAGCTTACAGAATTAAAATGCAGCGTGGAATTTCGTTGCTGACAAATATTAGGCGTTTTTAGCTTGAGTATTGTGTATTTTTTGGGTGGTGTTTGCAGCGCACATGTGTTGAATTGTGTGCAATTTCATGGAAAACCCAAGACAACAGAGAGAAAATTGAATGTTAATTGTGTGGATGTGATCCAACATGTATGTAGGCAACAAGTGACTGGTTTGTGATGCAATGTACAATCGACTAATCAAATGGCATTCATATATATGAAGCAGATATGCTGTCCATTTTTTTAAAACAGGAAATCGTTAAGAAAACTCTAATTAAAAACACGATACCGAAGTGACAGTCACAACTACGCTCGACACCTTTTTCCCCATTCAATTGGATTATATTTCACAAAAATGCGCAGCTGATCGTTTGCACACTGATTCCGTGAATTTAATTTAACAAAAATAACCAAAATACGTATTTTTGGAATAATTACGAAAAAACGAAAGAGTAATGGAAAGATTGAATTTATATGCGCGACATCATCACATCAAAGAGATCATAATTTGTTGTTTCCCGTTCTGGCTGAACGACACATGAATGTCCACACACGATTTTTCTTCGATTCAAAATTCACAACGATGAAGAGTGTTTTCCTTCGAAAAAAAAAATCAAATTGTGTGGAAATTTGGCGTGTGATTTGTTGATGTTGACGAATACTAAAAGCGATTCATAACCTACACACTTTTTTATCGTAGATCTACGCACACGCACAAACCGTTCTCTTTCTTCTAATGCTGTGTTTATTTTTATTCGGTTGAAATTTGTACAAAATGACAGAGAAAAAACAAACACAAAATAAAAATGAAAATTAAACGAAATTTTTCATCATCGTCATCATCGCTAAGTCGTCGTCATTATTTGACATCACTTGATGATCTAGTGCACCCGAATACTATAACACAATCACATAAATTACGGTAAAAAAAAAAGTTTTTATTTCACTGTGACTTTGCGTTCTATTTGCACTCTAAAATCCACAATTTGTAAATAAGATTAAATTATTTCAATTGTAATTCAATTTATTTGCCGTTAAATTCTTATTGGTAATTCATTATCTTATCAATTGCTTTCACTTGGATCGCGTTCGAATTATTAGTTCAAAGGCGGCGTTTTAAAAATCGAAACTTCTAGTGAAATTAAACAAAAATAGGTCTATGCACTTTTCAGTGACACAATGGAAATGTTTATGACGATATTCGGGTATTTATACCGAAGAAAATTACCACTATCGAGAAATTAAAAAATCGATTGGATTAATCCATATTTTTTTTGTTAACGCAATTAAAATACCCGCAAGAAAAAAGCATCATTCACACACGCACGATAAATAAATACGCACAAATAGTGTTTCGAGTACAAAATGAAAACATTTAAAACATTTGATACCGACTGTGAGAACCGATGACGGAAAAAACACACTACAAAGCCTAGATTTAAACGTGTGTCTATCGCGACTGGCGAACGACAACAGAAACAATATGACATAGAACGGCACCGAATTCAGTCAGTTGTTTCAAAATTCAATCCTCGCCGCGCTCCACTCCTCGTTCGTTGTGTTATATTTTGAGCCGAGCACAAGAAGACAAACAAACAGAATAACAAAAATAAAGCGTGCGCTGTGTGCGCGCACATTTTCATGAAAATAAAACATTCATATGGATTACACTCGCGCTCATGCTCATCATTCTTCGGGTCATCATTATGGATTGCTTTGGCATATACACATTTTATTGACTTTTTTTCGTTTTGTTTATCTCTTTCACTCCCTGGTTATGATATTTCTAATATACAAAACTCAGCTGCTTGTTCGTTACTACAACAGAATGCAACCGCGTCAAACAACAGAGACATGACTTTTTCCTAACCACAGCCATATTACAATTTCATTACCCACACTCGTCGAAATGTGATGTGTGTGTGTGTGCGCTCGCGCCCTTCATTGCCATTTAGTTTATAATAGTGCAGTTGGATCGTCATCGAATTGATTGCTATATTCCCACAAATGAATGAACAAACGAACGAGCGAGACGAAGCGAAAATTTTATGTTAGGGCATTCGTGAGCATTCATTGTGCTATGCAATCTTTGTGATTGCATATATATATCGTGATTAGGTTGAGCGCCACCCAAAACAATAAGCTGCTTTGTAATTTGGTTTTCCTATAGTAAATTGGCTTCGACTGTTTTTCTACGCAAATTTGCAAAAAGAAACCCAATGCGCTTTTTGTGTATGTATATTTGTATTGGTCTTGCGGTTACGATATACACTCGGATTAAGACGATGCAATTCATTTTAATTAACATCATTCCATTGGAATCATTACATAGAGAAAAGACGCGCCGTTTATGGTGCAAAACAAAAATCAAGTCGATTAAAATATAATGCTGTTGATTGAGACGGCTTTTCGTATAAAAAATATTACGCTGAGTCTCTCGTAAAAATATGCGTTAAAAATATTTGAAATTAACAGTGCAAAGGAAATTGCAATTTCACTCGATTAACTTAATGTCATTTTTTTCTGTCCTTTTTTTCTTCTTTCTCTTTATAATTCGAAGCATAAAAATAAGCTGGGAACAAACCCGTGCCCAACACACATACAAAAAAAAACTAAAGTACAAAGTTGCAAGAAAATAATTAATTCGAAATTTGTTGCAACAAATTTTGCGAAACGTTTAAATGGTCTATAATATCAGGGTTTCCTGTTTGGTCGCGTTTGAACAAAAAAAGATGACGAAATGAGAATAAAACAGTAAGTCGTGGTACCGCATAGACTTAAACATTAACCAAAATAGACAAAATTGTATCGTTCAAAACGAAATTGAAACGCACAAGTTCACATAACATAAACCACGGCCGAATGGAACACGACAAATGTTTCGTTTTCCATTGCTGGATGAAAACAAACAAACAAAAAAGATCTTGCCTATTTACTATTCGCGCATGAATCGAAATATTGATGCGGTGCGATGATTGCGTTTCTTTTCCACATTCAATTAAAAATAAGAAATGTTGTTTTCTGCTAACGATGGCGAAAATCGTAAATGTCGCGACACAATTTTAATCCCATTCAGTCACACCGCCACAAAACATGATAAATGGTTTATAGGAGCCAACAATCCTCAATTCTTTCATGACTTGATTATACTCATTTTGTGGACGAGTTAGCCAGTCTCTTTTTTCTTTCTCTCTCTCTCTCTCTCTCTCTCTCTCTCTCTCTCTCTCTCTCTCT